AAGTGACCTGTGGCGTTTGATGCAGCTGAACAAGTCGCTTTCAAACCCGAAACATCCCTACAGTCACTTCTCAACAGGTAATCTGCAGACTCTGAAAGAAGATCCACAGAAACGTGGTCTGGAAGTCCGCAGTGAGTTCATCCGGTTCTACGAGAAACACTACTCGGCAAATCGCGCGAAGTTGGTTGTTCTGGGGCGGGAGTCTCTGGACACGCTGGAGCAGTGGGTCTCCGAGCTCTTTTCCGATGTCGAGAACAAGAACCTTGCTCAAAACCGCTGGGACGATGTTCAACCCTTCACTGAGAAAGACATGTGCACCCAGGTGTTTGTGAAGCCGGTCATGGATACTCGGTCCATGGATATGTATTTCCCCTTCCTTGATGAGGAGGATCTGCATGACACCCAGCCTAGCCGGTATATCAGCCATCTGATTGGCCATGAGGGCCCAGGCAGTGTTCTTTCGTACCTCAAGGCCAAGGGATGGGCCAATGGCCTGTCTGCAGGCGCCATGCCTGTCTGTGCCGGGTCGGCATTTTTCACCATTTCAGTGCGTCTGACGCCCGAAGGTCTGAAGCAATACCAGGAAGTCGCAAACGTCGTCTTCGAGTATATCGCTATGATCAAGCAACGCGAGCCCGAGCAATGGATCTTTGATGAGATGAAGAACCTTGCTGAGGTCGACTTCCGGTTCAAACAGAAGACCCCGGCCAGTCGGTTCACCAGCCGTTTGAGCAGCGTTATGCAGAAGTCATTGCCCAGTGAATGGTTGCTCAGCGGGTCTTTGTTGCGACGATTCGACTCTGACCTGATCAAGAAGGCATTGAGCTATCTGCGGGCCGACAACTTCCGCCTAGTCGTTGTGTCCCAGGAATTCCCTGGTACATGGGACCAGAAGGAGAAGTGGTATGGTACCGAATACAAGGTCGAGAAGATCCCACAGGAGTTTTTGAGTGGTCTTCATAAGGCTCTAGAGTCGACTGAGGGTACCCGCACTTCCAACGTGCACATGCCTCACAAGAACGAATTCGTGCCAACTAGACTCTCGGTGGAAAAAAAGGAGGTTACCGAGCCAGCCAACACCCCCAAGTTGATTCGCCATGACGACCGGGTGCGCCTGTGGTTCAAGAAGGATGACCGTTTCTGGGTTCCCAAGGCTACTGTCGAAGTAACGCTCCGCAATCCTTTGGTGTGGGCTACACCCGCCAATCTCATCAAAACCAAGCTGTACAGTGAGTTAGTACGAGATTCGCTAGATGAATACTCCTACGACGCTGAGCTTGCTGGCTTGGATTACCATCTCTCGGCAAACATCTTGGGCTTAGATATTTCTGTGAGCGGATACAACGACAAGATGTCTGTTCTATTGGATAAAGTACTCAATACCATGCGTGGGTTAGTGGTCAACCAGGATCGTTTCGACATAATCAAAGAGCGCTTGACGAGGGCATTCCGCAACGCCGAGTACCAACAGCCTTATTACCAGGTCGGAGATTATACTCGCTATCTCCTTGCCGAGCGCAGCTGGGTCAACGAGCAGTATCTTGAGGAGCTTGAGCATGTTGAGTGCGCTGATGTGGTCAACTTCTTCCCCCAGCTGCTTGAACAGACCCACATTGAAGTCCTGGCCCACGGAAACCTGTACAAGGAGGATGCCCTGCGTATGACAGACTCTATTGAGAAGATTTTAGGGGGCCGGCCTCTGCCCCCGTCGCAGTGGTACCTACGCCGCAACATGACCTTGCCACCTGGCGCCAACTATGTTTACCCCCGGTCGCTCAAGGATCCGGCCAACGTCAATCACTGCATTGAGTACTATCTCTATATTGGACTTTTCTCCGATGATGTCCTGCGCTCGAAGCTCCAGCTGTTCGCGCAGCTGACTGACGAACCTGCATTCGACCAGCTGCGCAGCAAGGAACAGCTCGGGTATGTAGTGTGGAGTGGCGCACGCTACAATGCCACCACCCTGGGCTATCGGGTCATTATCCAAAGTGAACGCACGGCACAGTATCTCGAATCGCGTATTGAGACGTTCCTCCGCGAGTTTGGCCCCACTCTCGAGAAGATGCCCGAGGAAGAATTCGAGGGTCACAAGCGCAGTGTCGTGAACAAGCGCCTGGAGAAGCTCAAGAACTTGGGCTCTGAGACCGGCCGTTACTGGTCGCATGTCGGATCTGAATACTTTGATTTCCTGCAGCACGAGAAGGACGCAGCCAATGTGCGCTCATTGACCAAGGCTGATCTCATTGCATTCTACCAGCAATACATCGACCCCTCTTCGCCAACGCGCGCTAAACTCGCCATCCATATGAACGCCAAGTCAGGCGCGCAAGTTGAGGCACCCAAACCAGCCGAACAGAGAACACGACTTATCGAAGTAGTTGCCCAGCACCTCGCAGCTGCTGACTTCATCGTCGATTCTGCCCGTTTCACAGCGGCATTCGATGAGGTTGAAACAACAGTGGTGGACAAGTCTCAGATTATTTTTGTTGTGAAGAACTTCTTGGCAACCGAAACGGGCTTGTCACAGCAGAAGATCGAGCCAGTTCTTGAGACACTGGATGAGAAACTTGGTTCCCAGTTAAAGGAGCTGGGTCTTGGCTCTAGCAGTGACATTCAGGGTGCGGCTAATGGTCACGGCGAAGCTCAAAAGGCTGTCGTTATTACCGATGTGCCGACCTTCAAGGCACGCCTGCCTGTAAGCACTGGTCCCGTTCCTGTGACTGATTTGAGCGAGTATGAGGATTTTGATGCCAAACTATAAATGGTATACTCCGTACGGAATGGATTGGTTGGGGTTGGGGTTGGGCTGGCTGGATGGGTGCATGAATTGGAGAGCCAAGGTGTTTGTCAATTGAGGATTTAGGTCACTTCCCGAGATGGACAATAATTGAATACATTACATTCTGATCCAGTTTTATATGTAGTGGCTCTATAGTGTACTGCGTTGAGATATCAAATTTGGAAAGGCGGTCAACACTGATAAGCGATAAGTGACATCGGAGCTTGGGGGAGCTCCTGCCCTTTTCGACCACAACAGCAAATCGCCTCATCAAAATGGCTACAAGGGATGCCCCTGTTAGCAGTGTTCCGTAAGTATTATCTTGAATTTAACCTCGCTATCTTTCGCATGGTTCAATCTGACAAGATGACTTCTAGGCCCATTGTGCCCAAGGACTTCACTGCGCAACAGCCGGAGACTGTCCGCCTGTACCCCCTTTCGAACTATACCTTCGGTACCAAGGAGACACAGCCAGAAGAGGATCCTTCGGTTCTAGCACGGCTGAAGCGCCTAGAGGAGCACTATGGTCTGCATGGCATGCGACGGACTTGTGAGGGAATCCTGGTGTGCCACGAGCATAACCATCCCCATGTGCTAATGCTGCAGATTGCCAATGCGTTCTTTAAGTTGTAAGTTCTCTACATTAGTTCCGTGCATCCAGAATTCACTGCTAATAGGCTTTAGGCCCGGCGATTATCTGCACCACGAAGATGACGAGATTGAAGGTTTTAAGAAACGACTGAATGAGCGCCTCGCACCCGTGGGATCTCAGTTCTCCGGCGAAGGTGTTAATGATGACTGGGAAATTAGTGACACACTAGCCCAATGGTGGCGACCCAACTTCGAGACTTTCATGTACCCATTTCTTCCTGGACATGTCACACGTCCCAAGGAATGCAAGAAGTTGTACTTCATCCGCCTCCCGAAGAAGAGTAAGTTCTACCTCATCATATCTTCCGTTGAACATTGCTTACATAGAAACCACTTACTATAGAGGTCCTCTCCGTCCCCAAAAACATGAAACTTCTCGCCGTCCCGCTGTTTGAGCTGTATGATAATACTGCTCGCTATGGCCCTCAACTTTCTGCCATTCCTCATCTTCTATCGCGATACAACTTCGAGATGGTCGATGAGAACGACAACATTGTTGCGGTGACTCCTGGTACCCCGTTGCCCCCTGGCGTCACTCTTGCCCCCAAAGTTCTTATCGATGGTGATGGTGCGAACGACGGACAGGACACAGGTATGACTGGTGTTGAGGAGGGTATGAAGATCGAATCTCACCAGTAGTGGGGATCGCAAGAACAATGAACACTAACCATGCCTACTTTGAGCCTGAGCACTGCGTGTCTCGGGGGGGGCCAGGGCTACTTGCTAGCGGCGATGATGAACAAGATACGGTTTTGACTGGCATCGAGGAGGGGGATTCACCAATGGAGTGTTTTTCGAGAAAGCAGCAACTGGAAAGGACAAAAGCTCCATTGAAACACAGCCAGTCAAATCAAATTTACGCTTTTTATGACTATACGGAGTACGGAGTACATGTTTAATAATTCCGTAGTTCGATATTATCAACATATACTTACCAGTTCGAAGTGAGTGGCTGGGATTTCAAGCGATACAATCGTCGAATAGCACCTGGGCAATTGGGGGCGCCAAGTTAGCCAACGCAGAAACCAATCAACAATCAACAAATCATACCGTCCTGCAAGCTACTTTTACCCGATATGCAACGTTCCCAAAATGTTCGTCTTCACGGAAAATAAATCGTATGAAGCAATAATCGTCGCTGGATGAACCCGTGGGCTGCACATCAAGGCACAATTAAGCGCCCTCATCACAGCCCTAATCTCGCCCTGGATGGAATACTCCACCCAATCAATATGTAGGCTATCATCCATTCACCCGATGTTTTTCCAAGGTTACATTCCCGGTGATGCACTCGACAGGTGCTTACATTCCTTGTCGATCGCACCGGAGTCCCATCGGTCACGCGTGAAATATGCGCCATGAACGGAGATAAAACTGAGTCCGGAAGGCATCTAGCCTACGAGGAGAATGGTGCCTGTATACCCCGCTCGAATATGTCCCAATCTGTTAAGGGTTTTGGAAGCTATACGGGCTCGCCGAGCATACATAAGGGAGCCATATCTGCATGGCTATCTCGAGGTGTGCGCATACTCGTTGAGACTGTCTTACTCCGAAAGGGATCTTCATGATGGTTCTTCTTGGACGACTTTGGGGTACCGCTGCTCTTGCGGCATTGGCAGTTGCTGCTCCTTCTCGGCCTGTTCCTCGGGGTATGGATATGCGTTGTTCTTCTTCTTTATGCTCGCCGGTGACTGACTCAAGGAACAGATGTGTCGGCTGATTTGCTGGGACAATTGACTCTATACTCTCAATGGGCCGGGGCATCATACTGCACGAACAATAACAACTCAACCGGCGACGCACTATCTTGCGAGGAAGGCAACTGTCCATTAGTGGAGGCTGCTGACACAGTCACTCTATATGAGTTTGATAAGTATGAACCCAGTCTTCAAATTCATTCAGAGACTGTTCGCTAATGCAGTGCCCTCCTATCAGGAAACTCAGCTATGGCGATGTCGCCGGCTTCCTCGCGGTCGACAAAACAAACAAGCTCCTCGTCGTCTCATTCCGAGGCAGTCGCACGATAAGTACCTGGATTGCAAACATCGACTATGGCTTGAATGATAAAACTGGTATCTGCACCGGCTGTAAAGTTCACGGCGGATTCTGGGACTCGTGGAGGACTGTCGCAGACGGTCTGACATCCAAGATCCAAGCCGCACAAAAAACATACCCAGGCTACACTCTCATCGTGACAGGCCACAGCTTTGGCGCAGCTATTGCTACGGTGGGAGGTACCGTGCTTCGAAATGCAGGATATGACCCTAAGGTGGTAAGTATTAGATGCCTCAAAATCCTTGATCAACACATCTACTCACAATGAGACTCTAGTATTCTTACGCCTCACCACGGGTGGGTAATAAGGCTCTGGCCGAATATATCACGACAAAGGGCAGTCTCTGGCGTGTCACACATACGGCTGACTTGGTGCCTAAGCTACCACCTGCGTTCGCTGACTTTAGCCACTCAAGTCCCGAGTACTGGATTACTAGTGCGAACCAGGCGATAGTGACCTCGTCTGATATTGATGTCATTGAAGGCGTGGGCTCGCGGGCTGGAAATGCGGGCACATTGAAGGCTGATACCGAGGCACACAATTGGTACTTGGGACATATTGATGCCTGCCAATAGGGTGAGCATAGTGAATGATGCATATGTGGGATGTATATATTTTGGCTCAACCAATTGGTTATATACATATCAATATATTAGATTGGTAAAATATCTATTTCTGATTGGTTGATCCTCTTTGATTGAGACGTTTCAGTATTCAACGATTCTGTTGCGAGGTTCACGCTGTTTGAAGCTGTTCATGTAGAGCTTGGCCTTTTTTTGTGGAGAACTTGGAACTTGCGACACGTTAACCAGAATGTCTTCGACACGATTTACGACCTACGCAGTACTACATGAATAGTCTCTGATTCAGATCATAAGTATATTCTACGCTGTTCCCCGGATTTCTTGAGCTCCCTGGGGGCCCTTGATTTTCCGTTAATCATCCACTTCTCCTCCCCTCAATGACTTGACCACCGGGCAGACTGCCCTCCATCCAACATGTTGTTCGCCCCTAGTGGGCCCCAAGGCCCCCGACGTCGCAGTCGGATGAAGGCCATCTTCCTGACTATCTTCATCGTCATCGTCCTATACCTTTTATTCTTTTCAACAACGAAGTCCCCCGTGAAAGTCAAGAGCGAAGCAGGTAGCTATGCGCAGAAACATGGATCGGCGAAACAAACAGACGGGCTGGCTCGTCCTGTGGTATCGAGAGAAAAGAGTATGATTGTGGCTAGCATGAAAAATGATGACACGTCATGGCTGTTGAAAAACTTCCCCGAATGGACGAAAAGTATCTACGTGGTGGATGACAAGCACGCGCCGTTGACGGTGACACGCAACAAAGGCCGAGAGTCAATGGTATATTTGACGTAAGTCCGACACGGAATGTGTGTTACCTTTGATGCCGCATACTGACTTGAACTGTTGAACCAGATACATCATTGACAATTACGATAATCTACCGGAATCGATGCTCTTCATTCACTCGAAACGTTACCAATGGCATAACGATGACCCATACTACGACGGTATCCCACCACTCCAGAACTTCCAGATCCCATACCTACAAGAGCAAGGATACGTCAACCTCCGATGCGTTTGGACCCTTGGATGCCCGGTTGAGATCCGCCCGCTCACCGATACGCATCGTGGCAACGTACACGCCGGCGAATACTTCCAGCATGGATTCACGGAGCTATTTCCTGGGATCCCGATTCCCGAGGAGGTAGGCGTGTCATGCTGCGCGCAATTTGGTGTGTCCCGTGCCAAGGTGCTGGAACGGCCGCGGAGTGACTATGAGCGCTTCCGCACCTGGCTGTTGGACACGTCGCTAGAGGATGAATTGAGCGGAAGAATCATGGAATATTCGTGGCATAGTATGTGACTTCTCTGCAACGTCTTTAGTTGCGATTGAACACTGACCTTTCTTCTAGTGATATTTGGAAAGGACCCTGTGCATTGCCCCAATGCGCAGGAATGCTACTGCAAAGTGTTTGGACTGTGCGATCTAACCTGCCCATGGGAAGGGGGCTGTGATGACCGCTATTCCCTGCCACCATTCTCCTCGCTGCCCAAGGGGTGGCCGAAGATTGGATGGAAGGGCCAAGCACAAGACCCTTCACACGGATTGCCGGAAACTTGAATTTGATGGATGGAAGACATCAGTCATATAAGCCGACTCCCATTTTCACTGCCTTGAGTTAGGCACTGTGCTGCGTATATGCGCTCTCCAAGTGTAGTGCTCTCCTGCATCTAAAAGCGCCGAGGATATCCGTCGGGTCATCACTGAGACTGCTTGAAGGCTTTCCCAAAGATATAAGTGAATATATAGCAAATTAGTTATGAAACCAGCAGGTTCGTGAGAGTATGAGAAGGAAATCTTTGAATTTGTAAAATTGTACCTGCTTGATGTATAACATAAGTGACGTACATCCAACATTCCCAATGCGGAACCGAGGCTATTTGTCTCCCCGCATTCTGCAACTTCAACTTTCCAGTTCTCTCTCTTTCTCTTTTTCTCAAGCGAAAATGTTGATCATCGGGCTCACAGGCTCAATAGCGACGGGCAAGTCCACTGTGTCATCCATTCTCTCGACACCACCCTATTCCCTCCCAATCATCGACGCCGATCTCCTCGCCCGCAAAGTCGTCGAACCCGGCACTGCAGGCTACAAAGCAATCGTCAACTACTTCGGTCCCACCACACCAGATCTACTATTAGAAGATGCATCCACACATTCCAGCGGGAAGCCACTGAACCGACCGGCGCTCGGGCGACGTGTCTTTGGTAACACAGAAGAGCGCAAGCGCGACCGACAAGTCCTCAACGGTATCGTCCACCCCGCCGTCCGGTGGGAAGTCTACAAAGCCCTAATCTACCACTATCTGCGTGGTCAATGGGCGGTGGTGCTAGATGTACCACTTCTCTTTGAGAGTGGAATGGATCTCATCTGCGGAACGGTGATTGTGGTTGGGGTTCACGATCCCGAAATCCAAATGGCGCGGTTGCGCGCTCGCGACTCACATCTTACAGCCGAAGATGCAGAAAACCGGGTCCGGAGTCAGGGGGATGTACGGACGAAAGCGACGCAGGCGGAGTTCCGGGGGACAAAGACGGGGCGCGGGGTGGTGGTTTGGAATGACGCTGATAAGGCAGAGCTCGAAGTTGCTGTTCAGGAGGCTATGGCTAGTATTGCGGCGTCAAGTCCGAGGTGGTGGGCGTGGACGTTGTTGATTGCGCCGCCGGTTGGGGTTGGGGTTGCTGCTTGGAATTTGATCGTGAATTTCGCAACGCAGAAGGGGTGGGAGAAGAAGAAGCAGGAGGAGAAGTCGAAGCTTTGAGATTTTCTTCTTTTTTGCTTTTTCTCGAGAAGAGCCAGTCGCTACTTATGTATCTCTATGTAGTGCCGTTTGCTGCGGTGCTACGCTTTTATTAGGGCAATGTCCGCTTAGACTCCGTAAGGTCCTTAGCAGAGCTTAGAGTCTAGTACATACACTGTATATTGAGTATTGTTTGGGATTCCCTGGAGATTAGGACAGCTCCCGCCAAATGCCATTCTACTTTTCACCTCTTTCACCTAAGACCCTCGAAATTGGTCAAGTCCTTCAGTAAAGGAGAGAAAATACTACCAAATACACGGTCCACAAACCTTTGCTTATTGTAAAGTGAGCTTATGCCAGACCAGTAGAGACAGCTATGAACGGCTTCTGCGTAGTGTATATCACTTTCCTGGTGAACATTGTCGACGAGCCTTGCCCCTACCCGGAATTTAGTACGAAGACCAATGCCCAGGTGGTTCTGGATACTCACGTCCCTTCCCAAAATGGCCTTCCACCTGCCTTGCACCTTCCCCAGCCATTGTCGCATGTCACCTGCCCATTTCATACTCTTGACATAAGGGAAGGTGCGCATTGCCTGACATATTACTGTATACCCGTGGACACTTGAGAAATGCTGAGATTCCGGGCTAGTCAATATATTGTATGTGTTGACTTGTATAGTGAGCACTGAAGTGACTAGGTCAGGGATCATACGAATAGAAGCATTTACCACGATGCCGAGTAAAAATTGAATGATAGGACCCCGAGACGCCATACATGCTAAGCTAAAACGCCAATCAAAATATTCGAGGATGTATCGTGAGAGATCATCCGTTTAGGAGCTCTTGCGCTTTTTCTTCTTCTTGTCAGAGGATGGGGCGCCCAATAAAGATCCCCGGCCAGATCCAGAGATACTAGTGAGTTCAGACAACTTCGTCGGTCGTGTGTTTCCTCTGGCTTTAGCTTCTGCCTTGAGTCTGGCCTTTTCAAGCATTTTGGCGACCTCTTGCGGATTCGATGGGTTGATTATCTCGTCGTCGTAATCATCCTCGCCATCCTCACCATCGTCATTGCCATCCTTGCTTGGGGTAGTTGGTGGCTAGAAGAGATGAGTAAAAGACAACAGATCCGAGAGAAGAGAATACTGACCTTGCGCTCTTTGCGCTTGAAATTGCCATACGCCCGCCGTCCACCGGAGTGGGTATCGTCCTCTGCATCCAACGAGTCTGCCGCCAATACCAAAGGCTGCTGAGTGGATTGGGGGGGTAGCAGGGACGTTCAAGACCCAATGTGTCTCACCCGCCTCTGCAGCTGCGCGCGCGACAGCTTGCTGTCGCTTTTCTTCCTCGGCAGCAAGTGCAGCCGCGATCGCATCCATATCTGATGTGCGAGGGCTCTCTGCCTCGGTGGAGAGACGAGGTCGCTTGGGATTGTGGGGGCTGGCATCGGAAGATGGACTTTGACTTTCTTTTGCAGCTGCAGCACGTCGCATGAACTGGAAAAGAGCGTTAGTGGCATGGCTAGTGATCAGGAAACTGTCATTCGTACCTTCATGGTCAATAGATTTGACGACATGGTCTTCTCAGGCTTACCAGCCGGAGAGGAAGAGCCAGCCATGATGGGTTGAAAGATAAAACCACAGACGATCTATGATCCAATTGAAGAACAAGAGAAAGGTGTCAAACAACTTTACTTGCGAGGCGCAAAATAAAATGATGCGGCAGAAAATCCAAAGTGCAGGGTGGAGCTATCTAGAGTCAGCAAGCGGTGAACATTCACCAAACCACACCTCGCGGATTATTCAGTGCCGACCTGCACCTAGTCCCTTGCCAACGCTCTTTTTGTCCTCCGTCATAACCATCAACCCAGGGGAAATTTGCCCAATATGATGTCCTGTGGCCGCAGACTTGCGACCTTTGCGTCGGTTCGCCCGCGCTTCGTCGTCCGCGCATACTCCTCGACCGTGCCCCGTCTGAACGAGAACCCTATCCAAGTCAACGACCCGACCCCGCGGAAGCCCACGGCCAATGTCTCCGCTACCAATGCCGTACCAACTGAACAGCTTGGCAATCTTCAGGAGGCCCCCGAGGTTGGCGAGCGTATCCGGAGCATGCAGGCCCCGAACCGCGCTACCACCTGGGCCGCCAGTCAGCAGCCGCGCGAGAAGGCCATGGTTGGACCTCGCTTTGAGCAGACCATTATGGAGACCCAGGTGCGAATCCATTGAAACCAGCAGTGCCTATGCAATTGCTGTTGGCAATGCATAGCAAGGTCTAGAACTAACTTACTCTTTAGCCGCAACCATATGCCGCTATCGAGCTCATTCACAGACAGCCCGTCCGCTGGACAAAGTCCAAGGTTGTCAGCTGTGATGGTGGCGGTGGTCCTCTCGGCCACCCCAAGGTCTTCATCAACACCGACAAGCCTGAAATCGCTACCTGCGGATACTGCGGTATTCCCTTTGTATGTCCATCCACATCCGCTGTCTTTCGGGCTCCGATTGGATCTTTGCTAATATCCCCCTAGGCCCAGGAACAGCACCGCGCTTACTTGAAGTCCCTCCCCGCCACCAGCTACCCGCTCGAGCCCACTGGTGACGCCGCCGAGGTCAACGAGTCCCAGCGTGTGACAGAGGGTGGCCTGGAGCAGCGTTAGACGGCTAGCATGAGATTTTCTTTATCGGCGTTGCACAATTTGCGTTTTTCAATTGGTTTTGGGCCTGAGGCCGTGTACAGAATATCGATGAATGGATGCACTGCCTTTCGATCGTGTCGTGTGTGATGATGGTATTGTCCTCAAAAATGTGTGCACTACTTTGACTACCTGCATATGATGATATCATATAATCTTCATATGTCGACTCTCTCGCCAACCCAAGTCCCTCTTTATGTATCTTGCATCACTCGTAGCCGGGTCATTCTAGATAAATCACAATTGCCCGCGCTCCACCCCGCCATCCAGTCAAGCCTTCTGGCCCTGGATCGTCGCAACAACCTTGCGACTGTGTCGACTCGTCCGGAACTCCAGGTACCAAATACCCTGCCATGTTCCTGTTGCCAAGCGACCGTTCGTGATAGGGATATTGACCGAAGCCCCAATGAGCGCAGATTTGATGTGTGCCTGTTGGGCGATTAGTGCCTGATCCCAAAAAGAAAGTGAAAAAAGCGGAAGCTAGACAGAGCAAATCTCTTGACTCATGAAACGAGTATAGTGATCTAACTCAAATCCCAAATCCTCCGGTATCTCCAAAGACATACCGGCATATCATCCTCGCCCTCGGCAGAATGACGATACAGATTTCCCTTCTTATCCATAGGCGCAATACGGTCCAGCGCATCGCTCATATCGGCACGAACATCGTCATCCCAGTTCTCATTCAGCGAAAGCGCACAACTAGTGTGCTGCACGAACAGATTCAACATGCCGACTTTATAATCGCGGATGTCAGGGACCTCTTGGAGGACATGGTCGGTGATGAGGTAGGAGCCGCGGCTGCGAGAGGGAAGAGTGAAGGTTTTTTGTGACCAAGACATGATGTAAATGGGAGATGTAATGTTGAGAAGTGAGAATGCTGGAGGGGAAGAAAATAAGAGTGTTATGATTGGGTGGGTTCTCTGATGTCATTGCGGGCTACATCTGTATGTCTACATATCTGACATATTCAACATCTTGTAAGACATATAACTTCTATACGGAGTACATTGGGCAGAAATATCTTCTAGACATCACGAAAGGCATGTTCATGCAGGGTTAGGCATAATCAGCTGATGTCCCAGTTCACCCCATCTCAGGCTTGAAGCATCTTGATGTATCTCATGTTCCAACGCTATCATATTCGTTATAAATGCTCGGTTCACTCACACCGGCAGACTGAATAGCTGTAAGTGCGAATATTACTATATTAACAAAAATGGGACTCACACTATATATGTACCTACAGACCAAGGTTGGTGCCACGTATTATCTTGAACCTCTTCAAGTCGCCATTTTCGTGTACCAAAAAAACAAAGCGACAGCGGTTGTATCACGTCTAGCAACTAGGAGTATGTATGAAAAATGGATTACTTTGTCGTTTTCCTCATTGTCTGCAATAGGCTTATCTTCATATCTAGTCAACATTGTATAATTGTCTATGTACTGACCTATAAATGCATGAATAGCGCTAGATTGGATGAGACGGGGGTGAAATTTGGCTGAACTAGTGGACAGCTGAAGATGTGAGTCTGGGTTGGTCTACGGAATGGCTATTATATTGTCGCTACTTTGACTATTTGTGGCAAATATATTGATATTGCTTTTTTTTATCGATTACACTTCTTCCTACTGGAATTTCATTTGGGCAAGCAAACACAAGACAAGAGGTAAAACTTTGGGGTCGTATCTCATATTTGAATTGTAGCTAGTGCCATGGCTATATTATATTCGGATGTTGACTTCGGAACAGCAAGTATATATAACTAATGCCGAAACTATACCCCATGCATCGCCCGAAATACATTATACCGTTTAGGTGATATATAATTCAATAGTCCAACCTCATTCATATGGAAATGAGAATTGCTTCTTTAGCAGCAAACTAGCGTAAACACTATGCATTCACCTCATAAGGTAGCAAATATTGCTCGTCCGCAAACAATTCGACAAGTTGGTATCGACGGTGTGCTGTGAAGAGCATGATCATTCCTTGGGTGAAATTCTTAATCAAAGCGAGCAGCGGTGGACTATTCTGAACCTGTCTATAAGCTGACTTTGTGACCTAAGTCAGTGTGTCAGTAATCCATATGCAAAATCAATATTTTCAACCGTACATCGGGGACATAGCTCGTGAGATACCGCAAGACATCCAAATGCTGGACATGATGCGTGTCCGCGAGATTCGCCACGAAATTTCCCGTTTCATCCGCGAGACAGAACTCCTTGTAATACGACAAGATATCATTGGTGAAGTCAATGAAGAGCACAAGTTCCAGGGTGATAGGAAAATATTGCACAAGGTATTCCTCTTCGGGAAAGACGGAATTGGGATAGAGAAAATAGACCATGATTTCTCCACCGCCGACCTTAGTTCTCAAGAGCATAGGCGTGAGGCGGGAATTGAAAGAGAACCTAAAACCGGACTGTCTGATTTTATGCTCGATGACTCGGCCATTGATGAAATCTAGCATGCCTTTAACTATCACAGAGTGGCAGTATGGACCGAAATACTGCGATAGATTGCGAAGATGACAATCTAACCCAGCCAGGAGAGGCTGCTTGTGATGTTGATTCAGGGTAAATCTAGGTAGATCAGAACACTGTTGAATGCCTGTGAAGTCAAATAGACTCACCGTTGACCAAATGCTTGAAAATCCTCTATGCATTCGTCCGCCACATCATCCACTAGGAACATATACAGGAATTGAATGGCCGCTAGCACCCTCACCTGGAAGGGAAGAGAGGTATAGCCCATTTTTGCAAAGTTTACCGAAGGATCGAGGGTCTGTTGGACCGACTTTTCAGTCTTCTCTCCTAGGCCCAGATTTCTGAAGTGCTGCCAAACAGCGATTCTCATCTCAGGGTCTTGGATCACGGCAATGCTGCGATCAAAGTCTATATCCTCAAGAAAGGTCCTGATCAGCGCCTTGATCTGATCAGTTTGCGCCAATCCTGTATCAACACCCGTTCCATCCATGTCATTCGATTTCAATTGAAGTCCATGATAGGCAAGTTGGCTTTCTGCGAGATTAGGATCCATTTAGTGAAGATACAAATATATATCGGAGCAATCAACAAAGAAAGGCGGAAGGTGTAGGTAGCTTATATAGCACTCAGACCAGATACTGCGATAAAGGAAGTTGAGGAAGGCAAACGTTTCAAGGTTCTCCTTTATATAGCTTTGGTCACCTTGACGCCGTTACACAAGTAGTGGGGTGGTTAAATCACGATTCTACCAGGTTGCGGTTGTTACTTGTAGCTTATAGGAAGGGTTATTGCAACCTATAGGAACTGGCGAGGTAAATCGTGTGACCTGGCGAGCATTTCACTAGGTCGCTAGCTTATATATGAGCTTGTTACTAGTGGCCACGTCTAGGATCCTCTATTGACTATAGAGCTATTGTTTACTAGGAAAATGGTGTACGCAATTATCACAGGCTACCAACGGGTATATCTATTGATGTATTAACGCTACTATAAGCACTAGATACTAGTCTCGAGCTTACTACAAGTGACGTTTAGATGTACCTACTGATAGTACTAAATCTAAGTAGTATATCTAGGTCAATATACACTACTATATATGATCTAGTACCGAGCAATACGCCTCGGTTACACAACCAAGTACCTCATGGGAGGACTTGTACAGAGATTGTCTACATACCACACCTCTCTTTCATTTGATGCAATTATGTGATCGTAATAGGGTCAATGTCACATGTATGCATGTATAGGTAAGTTGGGACGTTATCGAAAATATACCCTGAAAGACGCTGATATCATGTGCGATTTCCGTCCAACTGTGCTCGATTCTGGAACATGTGTTATCTGCTCTCGTGCTGATACCAGATAATGCTGATGAAAACTGGGCATTTGACCTCGGGAGCTTGATGCTAGACAGATAAGTATATGTCCAAGAGCGATGAATTTCTAAGGCATAGTAGGACAGCATACTGGTTGCCTATACCGTGGGAATACCAAAGTGTCAGTGGTGGATCACAGTAGAGAGAATGCCGATCACTTGGCCCAACTCGATGAAAATCTCGTTGGTCGCTATAATTTTATCTGGTTCATGTGAATAGCCAATTTATCGACAGATAATGGGGGATGGAAATTGGATACGTCTTGAATTTTCTTGCCCAGTACGATTGAAGTATCTACTCTATTGCACGCTGTTGTCCCCCATATTGACCTCGACGCTAACACTATGACAAACAGGAGGTCGATCATTTCCCATTCATTGCTCTAGCCTATAAAACCCCATTCGTTTAAGGCTCGGCCCACGAGGCCCCCCTTTTCCTTTTTCCCTCAAGGTACGCCACATTCTACACCTGAAGGATCTCGCTCAGGGTCTCAAGCCACGCTAAGCCAAGCCCCCCCGGTAAATTTGATGTCACAATGGTGACATATCGGTCATACTCTGCGCACGGCCAAAACAAACCTGACCACGAGCTCAATCACACTGAACGCCTGGTGCCTCATGTGCATGTTGATATCCAAACCACTGGCAGTATAGGAGGCCACACAGCAACAGATGACAAGGCCGTAGATACGCAGGGCCCACAGACAGAGATGAAAACAAAGCGACCGTTCGACTGGACGGGCTCCTGGGGATGGGAAATTGGATCTGCGATGCTCAGTGTCGTGGGTCTTGTTCTCCTGGTTGCATTTCTTGTCAAAATAAATGCCACCCCATATGCGAACTGGCAATATACAGCGTCCCCAAATACTATTGTGTCGGTCATTACCACTATCACGAAAGCTGCACTTCTGGTTTCTGTGTCTGCGTGTCTAAGTCAGCTGAAATGGAACCTGTTCCGTGATTCAACTTCGCTATATAATCTTCAGGCCATTGACCAGGCCAGCCGAGGACCTTGGGGCTCCCTGGAAGTGTTACTGAGGGGACTATGTGGATCGAGAATGGGAAGCTTGACTTACGTTGGAGCATTTCTCACGGTCCTGGCTCTTGCGGTCGATCCATTCGCGCAGCAGATTCTGACATTCCCTTCACGAACAGTTCCTGCCCTCAATGCTACCGCATTAATTCAAAGTGCACATCAATACTACTCTTTGGAGGGTCAGGAATATAGTGATATATTCCAGGGGCTCGCGCCCTCGCTTTTGATTTCAATAATGAGTGGACTCTCACAGACAAATAGCCCTCTTGAACCTCAATGTGATTCGAGCTCTTGCAAATTCTCAGAATTCGTTACATTTGGATTATGTAGTGAATGCGAAGATGTTACAGCTGAAACCCATCAGATATGCCACGCGTATGAAGACTCCATGGTCTGGCGTCCTGAACACATATCCTTCAAGGAGATTCCTGTCAATTGCAGCTACCAATCACCGAATAACTTCTCATTTGATATTGGACTACTTGATGTGCTTGCACTACAACACCTCAACGGCGTGGTGACCCTCGACGTGAACTCATGGACCTCCCAACCAAGACACAATGAACCAGTTTTCGATATCCAAAGTCCACTGGTGTCTTTTATTACCACAAATTATTCAACTTTGATCAACTATACTCTCTCCAATGTGACAGCGTTTCCGCCAAAACCCTCGGTGACAGAATGTGCTATATATTATTGCGAACGGAAATATGCAGCTAGCACCTACCTGTCTAGCAATCAAAGCAGCCGTTCAGTACATGTCGTTGACACACAGCAGCTCATACCGAGAGATACCCTTGATGAAAATTCCCATTATCTTTTCACAGACTCGATTCATTTTGGACCCCCAAAAGGGTCTGAAACCCTATCAAAAAACTCGTCATACAGCATCGATCATCATACATTCACCGGCTTTCGAGATACAATGGGAGACCTTTTCAATAGTTCACTACATGATATATCAGTTGGGTTAGGATCGAGTGGATTCAACATGGCAACGATCCTACGTACTGGAAACCTCGGCCAATTACTCGATTCAATGACCACCAGCGTCACCGATACCCTCCGTGCCAGTCCGCACGGTAACAAAATTCATGGACAGGCATATCGAGTCGAGATGTTCGTTGACGTCCGATGGCCTTGGATCATTCTTCCGGCCATTGTTACCTTGGGTTCGATTGCGTTACTTCTTGGGACTGTAATGGCAAGCAAACAGCAGAACGCTGTGCTGTGGAAGTCTACTGTGCTTCCGTTGTTATCAAGTCATCTCAACACCACACCTGAGCATGAAATCGCATCTCTGTGCAGTGTGGATGAAGTACAGCGTGTATCGAAGAACATACGCGCTATCATGATACACGGTGAAGGGCCACTTACATTCACGGAGACGTAGGAGTTTCCCTGCGGGTCACTTCAAGAGAGCAATGTATTATACCTTGTTTCATGTCACCAAACAGAATGCCACGACCTAAATTAGGACTCTATACAAACATTTTCAGTCATCTTGTAGACCAATACCTATCGCTGTCTTTTGGGCTCTGCCTTCTGCTTTCTTCCGTATGTTGAATATCTCCGTGACTATCTACCTGCAATCTATTGTCGAGATCCTATGCGCAGTCATGTCCGTACTGGATCACTTGCTTCCGCACCTCCGGGCCCACGGGCCCGCGGTCCCAGGGGGTTTGGCTTTGGCTTTTCCAAACTCCCTAAAGCTCAATATAAATTATCCCTTGACAAGGTGTAATTTGGTACTTCAGCCTAAGCCTGAGAAACCATGGCTGATCCGACTTTCGTTGAGCAACTGGCCCCGTTTGATTTACCCATGCCCAGAACTTACATCAGAGTTCTTTTCGTTTTCGAACATGCAGGATCAGCACGACCGACAGCTCAGAGTCTCCAACTTGGTCTGGATAATCTTTCCAAACAAGTGCCTTGGCTATCCGGTCGAATCTTTTCCAAGATAACAGCCCAAGGCGAAGCCGCTTCTCTTGTCATCCGATGGCATGGAAACGAGACGCCCACTCTTGTCGACAAAGGGACTTTAGCGGTATCATACAAATGCGCATCCTCCCATGGCATGCGCACAGAAGCCATACCGTCAGATGTATGGCCAGTTCCAAGTATGATCGATGACCCTCTCTTGGTGACAGGAGATCCTGTTTTTGCTTCGAGTATCTTTCGCTTCGCTGATCAAGGTGTGGGCTTGTGTGTCTGCCTACATCACAACGCTGTCGATGGGACAGGATTCTTAGAAATCATGCGATTATGGGCTCGGAATGTCGCCGATCCAGGGTTCACTTTCTCAAATTCGACCCGGAGTAGATCCAAAAGGCTCTCGGAAGCGCTGTCGATTGACCTCCAAAATACCTCCAGTATTTCTTCTGAAAGTCTATTCGTGCTGCATGCTGAATACTCCAAACTGCCCCCCGTTATACCGGAGAAACTCCCCTCTTGTACATCCAAGCTCTTCACGGTTTCGATGCATTGGATCAATATCCTAAAGGGACTCATGGGAAAATATACATTGAAAGTACCGACCACAAACACTGTGATATGCGCACTCATCTGGACCACAATCACGCGCGTCCGAATGCAATACAATCCATTTTTGAGGGGAGAGATAAGTCGATTAGTGATGGCAGTCAATGGTCGACAGCGCATCGGCGAGAGCTTCTCAACCCCGGAATCTCCTTTTTTGGAAATGCAGTGTTTTACTCACTGTCGAAGTCTCTAGCAGACACCCTGGCTGCATCAGACGAGGCACCTGTGCACTCGCTCGCTGAGATTTGTGACCACATTACCCATTCGCAATCAACTTCCGTGATCAACTCACGTCATATCGCAGAGGTTTACCAGTTGATCGACCACATGAAGGATTATAGATCTCTTTTCGTGGGCTGGGACCTCTTTAGATCTCGCGATCTCACAATCACAAACTGGGCTGATATCGATCTATATGGGGTGAGCTTTGGCGATGTGCTTGGAAAGCCGAAGTTTGTGAGGCTACCACAGATGGAAGCAGATGGAGTTGCTCTTATTCTACCACGTCAACGAGATGCATCTCAGGAAGTGCTTGAAATCATGATCATGTTGCGGTGTGATCATATGGGTGCTTTGGAAAAAGACTCCATGTGGCAGACCATTCTCTCACATGGTCGAAAAGATGGGGATGAGTTGAGCATTGATAGCTCAGACTGAAAGAAAAGGATGTCTAGTAGATACATACATAGCTTCAACTAGACGCTAGAATCAAGCTGGAAAATTCCTGCTTGCGATATAAATGTAACAAGATTTCTGCATATTTCCGGTCATTCTCCCCCTTTTCGGGCTAAATATCGGCTATTTCTTAGCAATCTATATGCCACTTAATTCGGCCTGTAGAAGCCCACCGCAAGACGGCTTGCCACATAATAAGAGGCATCAGACGATAAACAATTATTTGCACGTCTGATAACTTATCCCACAAAGATTTCATTTGCGTTTAGGGCTTCGCGTCAAGTTGAGGTCTCAGTTCTTACGGTCGACACCCACAAATGCCTTTCTTTGTTCAATCGTTGCGCAGCTAAACCAGTATTGAAATTTTCGCATTGAACACTATATGATTTACATTGATGGGTGACTGTTCTGGAAATCCACATCAATTTTGTCCCACGGAAAAGGTGGTCCACTGAGCCAATCATTCAAAATATCCATAGCATATGGGTTGACGGAATTCACATCACCAGATCCAAAGGTATCTTGAAACACCTCAGGAGAAAATAGCGACGTGCCATGCGAGGTATCGGGAATTCTTAGCGAGTTTTGCTGTTGATTGTATGATCCGCCAGGCGACTGTTGCGACTGTACCAGCTTCCTGGCGACTTGAGTAAAGGTGGCACATATCTGATAGAGGCATTCGGAACCTTGAGAGGCACTTCGGAAATTCTCCAAAGTGCCCACTACTTGTTCAAGAAGAGTGACATTTGCCATGTCCTTTGCTGCAATAGCATGAAGGAATGTAACGATAAACGGGATGAAAGAAGAAGACAAAAGAACCCTGAGAATATCAGTGGATTGATTAATCGGATTTGAGAGAAAAGAGCGAACCCACCAATTGAAATAGTCATCATCTGAGAGAAATTGGGATTTTTGGTATTGCGGAAAGAAATCCAGATGAGCTCGTAGACTATTGCGGGCGGCATTGAAGCAATGCGAACTAATCTGCAATTCCACTCCGTTGATTGAGGACGCATGAAAGAGCAGGGTGAGGGTCGAATAAAACAAGATGTCCCAGTTCCCCCTAGACAAATGAAATACATGGGGATTATTGACTCCTTCAGAATCAATCTTTCGACCGTCAGCTGATTTTAAAGAGTGATAGATGCTTCGCGGCCTCAACTTACCTGCTCAAGTTCATAGTGCCATTTTTCCATTGCAGCTGAGAGATCGCTGATGATTTGTGTTCGTTCGGATGGAGTCCTAGCCATAGTAGTGGTTGAGTAAAGACCAGCGAAAATCCGACCCTGAAGCTCGGCTAGCCTTATCCCCATAATGAAAGACTCGTCCCACGCCCTGAGAGCTAAATCCATCGAAATAGTTGGGTATTGTGAGTCAATCCCGAAAGACTGCATATTAGAGGCACGACCTAGCACAAGAGACATGTTTTTATCAAAGGTGTATACTGTCCAAAACAGCCGTCGAATGCTCTCTGCTTTACTAGATGAGAAGCGTTGATAAGTCGATTCACGGTGATACCCGAGTGATTCACAATGGGAGACAGCGGCAGCAGCGAGCTTCCAGTATAAGTGGGGTTTTGCCTCTCCCTGGGACTTGACCATCTGAGATTTCAGTTAGTTTGGATGTATAAGGTAAAATATTGGGCCAGGGTCGTTCGAGTAATGTGTAGGCGCCTGGTAATACGTACACCCATAGTCAGTGCAAGGATACTTTCGAAGCTTGGGACAGCAAGGACTTCGTAGCTTTCAATCGCATCGACAAAATTTTGCTCACAATGACTCAGATGAGCAGCGAGATCGAACTTCTGACAGAGCTGATCTTTCATTGCTATAAGCTCCTTCAGAACAAAGAAAAGGACTCCATGCATGCTAGCAATCTCGCCGACGGATGCTAAGTCAGAGGTAGAGTAGACCTTTTGACATAGGTTTTCTACCAATGATAGATCACTGATGGCATAGGAGGAAAGAAAAATGGGACGGCGGTCTGAATATTTCAAATTAGAAAGCTTGTGAGTAGGAGATCTCCAGACCAACTACGTGTAGGCTATGTGGAAGAGACATAACACACCTCTCATTCTTCGCAGAACACAAGCGACTAGATTAACAGGCAGAGGTGGGGATGTCGGGACGGCCTGTGAAGTTGATTTGCGAAAATAGAAATCATTTCTTAATAGACCTTGTGAGGCGCGGAGACTTTTCTGCAGTTGATGGAACGAATGGTCGATAGCTGAATTATCACCGCTACAGGTGGAGACCGCTGCCCTTCGCGCACTCTCACTAGCTTGGAAAGACTGGTTTGTGAACGAGGGATCGCCTTCAAAAAGAGAACTCTCATCGGTCGGGAGAGGTCCAGCAGATGAGACATCTAGGATAGTCGCATCCTCAATTGCAGGAGTTGCTTTCGAGCGTTCCAAGGCAGCGAGTCTGGATTCAAGGCTGCGAAGACGTCTCTCGAGGCGGTCCTCGTGCACTTCACTGGACATCTTTTAGCATTGTAAGGCAGGGAGTGCTCAGCACACATACCGATTAGCTGCTTGATCTTGCTGACTTCTTGATTTATCATTAGGATATCGACAAGTTATATTTGATGTCCGACAGTTGGCACAAGGTTGAGTGCGATCGCAGCGGATCTTTAAGACTCTTAGCGCACATCGTTGCTTTTGGGCCAAGTCTTCCGTATCTCACCTTCCGGATTTTGCAGCCCTCGCACTAGAAAATCGTTAGATATGAACGTAAAAGGCTCAAATGTGTGACTTTACTGCCCGCGGGACGGACGAAAGTCGGTGCCGTCTCGCCTGGATTGTTTCCTCGTCTACTGGTGACATAATGTTCTGTTGTTGAGGTAGAATGTCCGTCGAAGAAAGGGATTCTTCGCTCCTGCGGAACCGCGGCGCCGATGGCCCGATTGATGCCAAGCAATACATCATTCTACGCGCGGCAGGCAACGCGGCAATTGAGACCATACTACTCCATACGAGGGTTCTATAATCGATCGTATCGTACTTGGCGTTGAGCATATAGCTTAGTGCTGCCTAACATGTGACATGGCCACCTGTTCTGAAGTTTGTCGACATCATAGCACCGCTGTTTGTTCGAGAACTACGGAGTAGATAACTACAAATAGAAGAACAGTAAAATTCCAGAGCTTTCTGAAAATCAACGATGAATAATACTTGTGTTGACCTAAATTCGGACTCGCCCACCACTGGCTTCTTTGAGAACCATTTTCCATTCTATATCCGATATTTCATCTGCATGAATTGCAACCTTGACATCAAGCGCTCTTCGAAGCTGCTCCTTGGTAGCAGCATACAGCATACGAAGCTGACAATCAGATCAGATGGCATTGGCAATCAAGGAGTTCAAAAGATTGCACAACAACTTACTCGGGTAGAAGTTTCCTCGGGCACCCAACTTATGAAGATAATTGTTGCTCTAGCTATGCTTAGCAAAGATGTAATAATACGCTCAGTAGAGATCTGGAATAAAAAGCTTACCTTCGACCATCTTCGCTTAGGTCATATTCAACGTCGTATACTGCGTAACGAGGTGCACGGTTTCCCTCATGGTCAACAGACGAAGTGAGCTTCTGGAGAAATATTTCGTAGTTCTTCTCAGCGGACCTTTCTTCCACCATGATGGAACACTTGTCGTCCGAGATTTTGTAGATCACGAAGGTAGGCTTATTTGCTCCCCTTAGATAAAGAAGCTCCTTGAACGCTGCAATGCACTCGTTTGGGACATCGACGCTTTTGATTAATGAGATTAATCCATTATTTTGTATATGAAGTGCTTGCGAATGATTGTTAACTCACCCTGAGGGAAGCTAATACTTGGGGTTATTGTAAGTGGCCGCTTGATTGACTCAGGTGGTAGGTAAGAGACTGACCGACATGGTGGCTGGGACGGTAAGCGTCAATCAGAATAGCAGTCTTGAGTTCAAATATAGGAGCAATGGACCAATGGCTATATGAATGAGTAGAACTCAAGTCCAGGCAGCCTTTATATCTTCAGTTCCGGCTCATCGGGGAAATGACCGGCTACCTGGGCCCATGGGACCGACCCCCGAAAACAGGAAGACATAGCTGACTTCTCGAGCCCCATTCTCGATCCTGCTAAGATTATCCAGGATGTTCTAGATTCTGGTGACTCGGAAGAGGCAAAGGTGTTGTACAAGCGAGTGGCATGCTACCAGCAGACTCTGGGTTCAGATCATGACAAGACTTGACCAATTGCACAGAGGTTGAACTCATCAAACATTACGGGTGCGCAATAGTATCTGGAGCCTTGTAGGGAGTCAATCCTCGGCTTTGATAGATTCTTAGTGGTGGGATTTACCAGTACCATGTGGTATGTCGTCGTTTCGCAGAGCTATGAAAACGAACAGTACTTCGAGGGTCGTATCACAGAAGCAACATCCAAATGGCTCCAAGTATATAGTATCTACATTCTCCCAATGGGCATCTGACACTTGATCATCGAAGATAATCCTTTTCTTTCGATATTGCACTTCAATGAATGTCACCAACGCGAGGCGATACTCTATTCCATTGTTGTCTCGTTGAGCTCAATTTTATGCAATTCAAGCTAATTGATCTGAAGTGTTTCAACTCTCTAGCTCATGTTATCATTTTTGGGGCTCTGATTCTCAATCTTATAGATATTCATGTCGTGCCACCTGTATGAGACTTTTCGGCATTAAAGTTCTGCTGCATTTCATGGAAAATGCAGTGTGATTCGAGTCTCAGGCCATTAAGTATCCCGGAGTCTGATTCGGGTAATAGAATCTGTTGCCTGGGCTGTGCTTGGCTTGTAGGCTACTGTGGGGAAGTTTGCTTTCTTCCTCAAATCAAGCGCACGGTAAGAGTTGACCTCGACCTACAGCGAGATGTTGTCGGCAGCTGGCGTATCCCAAATTTGCGAACAAGAGGCACCTTTTAAGAGGGCATCTTTGTGTCACTAATCATGTTTATACTACGTGGGAGTTGTCGAATTACACACTAACAGAGGACTTTGGTCATCCAGTCTTTTGCAAATAATCATACGAGCTGCGCCCCACTGACCCCGACCAGTTCTACTCTCTGAATGGAGACAAGGGTCCCCTGAAGTTAGGGCTACAAACCATGCAGGTATACGTGGCGATTGATAGTCGCCAGTGCCCCTCTCAGCCTCGTTCTACCCCAATTTTCAGCCCCATACCAACACTACTTCCTCGGGTATTGGAGGGAAAAGGTATAAATAAGGACCTTTGCGTGCCTAGATTGTCAAGGAACTATCGCTGTTGATTTAGCATCTCCATACTAAACTGGAATCTCTCCTAGAACGGTATGCCTATCACTCTCACCACGGCCGCACATCCCCCTCGAAAATGGGAAACCCCAAGGGTATCCACAGTGGAAGAGCTGTTTGCCCGTTCATGTCCGGAGGACCAACGCCAAAGCCAAAAGCTCATCCAGAGCTCGTTTCCTGAGAGTTCCTTTCGCGAGAATCATGTCTCTGCCTCTCAACACGGCTTTGTCTGGGCCGTTTTCAACGCCTATAGTTATCATCATAACTTGATAATTCGACCAGAAGATGTCTGGTTTTCCATTTTGACGCAACTCAGTTTCTTTATAAATGCACATGCAGAGGAACTTCGATCCTTTTTTGTCTCGCATGAAGGGAAGAAAGAACTTGAAGTCATTGATGTTGGAACTATCGATAGCGTTGACCTAGGCGCCCTAGTTTTACAGATGACCAGGCTGATCGAGAAGAACGTGGTGGATGAAGAGTTACGAGCCTGGATTATGCCAACCTTCAGCACTACAACCAAGTCTGATAATGTGGTCGCGGCGATCTTGATGATGGGTGCTTTGCAGAAATACTTCTCGTACAAGATTTCAATGGCTTGTGGAATTCCGTCCGTCACTTTGTTAGGCGAGAGGAAGGACTGGGCGCAGATTGTGAAGAAGCTTGATAAGCTTCATCAACTAGGGGACGAACCAGCACGATTTGCTCAGCTTCTTCGACCGGTCCTCAATAACTTTGTTGCCTCTTTTGACAATCCAGACTCACCCGAAGTACTGGATTTCTGGACCAGATGTGCCCACAGGCACTCCATGGGCAGCGGGCCAGACTATTTATGCGGCTGGATTTCGGTCTTCTGTTTCTGGGCTGAAGATGGGAAGCTCCTCCATCGAGAACCAATCCATCCCACCTTCTCACCCGAATTCGAAGCACGAAACTCTACATTTGGATTGGAAGACGCGTTGTCGCGCCGCATTGACACGGATGATGTCCCATCTGGATTCGCCTCGGTGCCCGTTACCGTCGATGATGATGGAATCATATATGAAACCATGATGCTAGCTGGACTTATCGGTATCCAAGCTACATCGAGCGGAGTGATGTTGGATGGCACTAGATATCATAATGACAAGAACTCCTACCGAAGAGGTGCTGACGGTCAGCTTGAACCGGTTGTTTATACCGTTCCGCTTCCGACCGAAGAGGCTGGACTTGATTCTATTCAACCAGTGTCAGGATGGTGGATATATGAAAAGCGGCCCGCAGATCAAACAAAAGAACGCGATTGTGAAAGCTGGGTGTCCAGATGTTATGATTGGGATAGTATCGCTTCTGATATTGATTCAAAATTGGAGCTGGGGCTATTTGCCGGAGCTGAGGAGCTTAAGCATTCCTGAGTCGGCTAATGGTACAATCAGAATTTACTGAATGACGTATCAAGATCGTAGTTGAGATTCTTTTATACCTTCATGATGACACATCCCAGTTAAATGCCCTCCGGGGGGTTTGATGGATCTCCAGGGCTACCTCGGAAATATATCTCGCGTCTGAACAGGGTCATTTTGTTCATATGTGGTACTCTAAACTCGAATATCAAAAAAGAAGACTCACAAATGAGAATCTACGTAAATTAGACTCCTCGGTACTTCGGTGACTCTCGGTCTTTTCGCCGTACCCATAATGCGGGGAACATTTGAGGACTTCATTCCATCCTGAGATCCCTCGTTGAGTCGAATTCTCAAATTTTTTGAAATTTTTTGGTCGCAAAACATGACTTCCGTTGATCCAGCCTCTCTGCTAGTGTCTGCGGCTGTCCCAGCATTCAAGTGTCCTGCTGGGACAAAGATGCATATCTTGAACCTGGGCACCCTCCAAGCAGACGAATCTTGGTTTGTGTTTGCCAATCAATCCGTGTGCTTCAACTAACATCACACAGGATCTTCCGGGGTGCAAATGCAAGCTCCGTGAGCAACCCCAATCCAGTGAATAAACGTCGGGATTTAGTGCTTCTTTCGGCTCTGATTGAGTACCCGGGGGTTGGCCTCATTCTTTATGAAACGGGCTGTGCTGAGGATCTAGACGTGGTATGCCAGATTGTATCGCAGTATATATATCCCGTATGACTAAACAGAATACAGAAATGGCCGGCACCAGTCACGGATGTCTTTCCGCGAACTGAGTACTCCGAGAATAATAAGCTCCCGAATGCTATCAAAGCCACTGGAAACGACATCAAAGACGTGAAAGCAGTCATCATTGGACACCTGCATCTTGATCATGCCGGAGGACTTGAGCATTTTGCGAAAACAGATGTCCCAATTTACGTCCATGAAGAAGAATTCAAGCACGCTTGCTGGGCGGTAGCAACCGGGGCAGACTTGGGTGTCTATTTGGGACATTATATGCTCCTTGAAGAGTTGAAGTGGAACACTTTCAACGAGTCTCAACTTGACATTTTTCAAGGCATAACCCTCTACCATTCACCAGGCCACACACCTGGTCTCTGCATTATGCAAGTGAATCTCGCGAATGATGGACCCTTCATTTGGACCTCGGATCAATTTCACGTTGCAGAAAACTATGACCTAGGCCATCCTCATGGAGGATTAGCTAGGGATCACAATGCGTGGTATCGCAGTCTCAATATGATCCGCAGGCTTCAAAGACTGTACAATGCGACATTGATTTTCGGTCATGACAAGGATGTTGCCAATAAGCTCATGAATGCCAAGCCGTACTATGAGTGAAAGTCTACACCTCAAGCTTGTTATTAGTCTCTCACTTAATGAAATGAAGATGTCCTTTTCTGAGCGGAACTTGTTGAATCCCAGCTTGTAAATTTGATCGGGCGGAAGCCTAGGGGAGATCAATCCGACGTGAGTACGAACATTTTCATTTGAGCCTGAATCCTCGACAGGGAACTTTGGAATGCTTTCCCGAATAGGAAGGTACATCCCACCGCTCTGACCACGGGACTGTGGTGGGTTATGTAATCCAGTCCTCTCGTCTGTTCTAGTGCGCAGAACCCATCCTATTGATCTCAAGCCTAATATCCCGGGTCACCCCATTCGAAACAAGGCGCGCTTCGGTTGCATTTCCATCTGGGAATATCTGAGCCGTCAGAGACACCTCTCCCTGACCACCCAAGACCTCAACGCTAGACCAATCCACGAAGATCTGCAAATTGATACGATTCTCCGCGTTCGCTGACAGTGGTGCGTGATACAAGCTCGCAAACGTCTCGTCAAAAGATACATCCCCTGAATTTCGCCGATCCACAAAGACCTCTTTGCTGGTAAAGTTATACCCAATGAGTGTTTCTTGCTTGAAATCAGAGCTAGCATGGACAGCTATCGCAAACGTAGATGCCAGAGAATGATCGGAGTCGTGATCAGAAAAGCTCAAGTCGATATTGACTGCCTTGCCTGGAGAACCAAGTCTCTTTGATCCTTTCGATACAGCTTTCCAGGAACGTTTTGAGGTCTGGTGATTGGCAACTCTCCGCCAGCTATGATGCGGTTTTTGAAGGAGGGTCACCCTTTCATTAGCCATCTCCAAAGACAACTGACGGGGAACAGACATGGCGCTTCGCCAAGGTCTTGTTGGAATCACCGCACCGTACTGCCAATTGTTCATCCATCCGATCTGGACCACGTCTCCATCAGGAAGTCCGTTATAACTGGCAGCAGCATAGAAGTCCGGACCCCAATCCATCCAGTTGGCAGACTTGTTCCCGGGATAGCTGCTGTCAGGATCAGCAGTGAAAGTTGTCCCGTCGAAGTCGCCAATAAAGTATTGTGTGCCTGATCCGACCGTGCCAGGTGGCCCACCAGGGTTGAGTCCCAGAACCATTACCCATTTCTTGGCTGATTGGTGACCTTTGATAGGTATTTGAAACAAATTGGGACATTCCCATACGCCGCCGACAGCATTGTAGGGTCCGAATTCGCTGGCGAATGACCAGTCTTTGAGATTGTCAGAACTCCATATGGCTATTTTGTGGATTGCCGCCAAAACTGTAACAGAGATCCATTTATGTGTATCCTCATGCCAGAACACGAAGGGATCTCGGAAGTCTTTGAATTCTGCTGCATAAGGAGAAGGTGGATTGTGAATAACGGGGTTCTCGGCATCATATCTTGTCCACGTCTCCCCTTCGTCAAGGCTATAAGCAATTGATTGAGATTGCTGCTCTGGGCGAATATGTTTTCCGCTTGGCAGATCCTGCGATACGGGGTACTGTAAGAAAACGGTTGTCAGTTCCCATGAGTGGTCAAGTGAAATAGCTATGCGTACCGAAGAAGTATACATGGCGACCAACGGAACCTTTCCATTGACCCCGAAGCCACTTGTATTGTTCACATCTGCCACCGCACTTCCGGTGAAGTACATCTCGGTGACATTATTGGGATACCCGCGAGCAAGTAGAGCAACAGAGCGCTCTTCCCAATGGATCAAATCTCTACTCGTTGCATGACCCCACGACATATTGCCCCATTCGACGCCAGCGGGGTTATATTGGAAAAAGAGATGGTATGTGCCATTGTGATATAAAAGTCCGCTAGGATCGTTCATCCAGTTCTCGCCAGGGGAGAAATGATATTGAGGACGATATGGTTCGGTATACTTCAGACCGGATGCCGGACCGAGAAGACCCAAGGCCACGAGGAAAATGTTCATCTTGGAACTCGATCAAAATCTCTATGCAAAGAAAACGGATTTTGTTCCAGCAAAATCGTACAGCATTTATATCTTAGAGAGTCCCTCCACATTCATACTTGGCATGCCCCATGGGGATTCAACTGCTCTGCAAATCTTCGGGGAAATACAAACTCTCACCCCACATTCTTGTAGAAACAGCTCAATAATCGGCACGCCCGGGGCTATGTCGCTAAAACTCGGTAATAATCTCGGGGCTCATGTCTTCGGGCCGTGCTCTCTCTGCCCGATCGTGGGGTATGGATAAATTGTGATGTAATGAGAGGATTAAAAAATAAATCGAGGATAGATTTTATAATTAGCGGAATTGTTCTTAACCTCGATGGCCCACAGTGTCCAGCATGTGTAGGAATAGTTATGCGGGACACAAAGACCTGGGAGCTGGGACCTGACCCCAATAGACAAATCCATGGATTTTGGCCAGTCAACGTCATTGTATTCGTGATGTAGTGGTCTATTTCCGATTTCAGTCATCAAGGTAGCAAGTAGCAGATGAATCTTGGGTTCTTCTTGCCGATTGTTTGTCCATTGAGATGAGTGAAACCGAATTTGAAGCAATTATTGATGTTTCTGAGTACAATACTCGATGGTACATCATCACGTGTCTTTCTACAAACACAAATTTTACCGGGGAGGGGGGGTTACTAATGTACTTTTTCTCATCAGAGGCACCGAGATGATATCAAGGGTCTGTCCTTCAGGTGTGAAATGCAGGGCACAGATGCTGGGTTTCGAGGGCAGGGGCCAAAAAGGCGGTGGCATGAACTGGGCTGTTGTCGGCTGCACTCTCATTCTGCGGCAACTGCTTGAGTCTGTCGTAGGTCTGCTTAATACCCCCAAAGATTGAGCCCATGACCGAGAATAGGTCTCCATTCTCCAATACAACGTGACCACAAAGGGAAACGCTGCTGAAGCGACTGCACAAAGCATCTAAAACGAAATCAAGGTCAACAGTCGTTCGCGCAACTCGAACATCCCAATCGGGAAGCTGGGGAATCCCGACAGTCAATCTATACATGAGGGTGACGGCATATATGATGCCAGACCACTGTATGTAAGAGAGGCTGCCGTATTCAGATGCTGGGATGGAGAGGAAATTGCGAGCAAGCTGTCCAGCTGATTTCAAACAAAGGAAGAGTACTTCCAAACAAACTTGAGGGGTACAAGATGAGATTGCTGAATATCTCAGGGGGGACGTCGGTCGCCACATTTTCGCTGCAAAGACATTGACTAGGTCCATCTCATAGACATGCATTACAGCCGTCTGAGAGGCCAGGTCCATCCCGTCTATGGCACGTTAATATTGATGCCATTGGATTTCCGATCAATCGAACTCACTCGGTTGCTGATATACTGGTGGAAGTAAGTGCTCCCACTGCTTAAGCTCAGCTTGAAAGGATTGAACCTTCGTTTCAAGGTCTAGGGCATCCATATGTCCCAGGCTAGTGTTATCAACAGCTGAAAGCCTGTGGTGATTCACATCGGCCATGTGTTGAAGCTGGACCAGTGGTAAAAGTAATGCATCCGTTGAATATTCCAATTCTTGACCTAACGATCTCGCACAATCAAGCATGTAGCTTTGGAATTGGAGTCTATTGGACTTCATTGTGACCCAGCCGGTGCTAATCAAAGCATATTTGATTAGCCGTACACTCTCTGTTTTGAGTGACGATGATATTTCGAGAGGACCCAAAAATTGCATTGTCCATTTTAAAGGGGCGGGGAAACCACCTACACGCTCGAAAGATAAAAGCACCCCAAATATGCTCTGCGGGCTTCTCGGCTGAAAAATTCATCGTGGTCCGCTGAAGGTGTAGAGACTTTGCGATAATGTGACAATCGAAGTCCGATCTTCGCCCCAATTGCCTCGGCAGGTCTTAGGTTCAAGCCCATGTCACTAACCATACCAATTGCGACATGGAGCAATTGGTTGAATTGTTCTTTTGTAGGAATATAATAAAACTGGTACCTGAAGTTTTGATTAGCAGAGTCGAACCAAGAGTGTCAAATGAGCAGAATATGCTCACCAGGCCAAGTATACTAGGATCCCATTTAGAAGATCTAGGCTCCTCTCATTCTGAACCATCACGGTGTGGAAAGCACCGCCTATAAATTTTTCACTAAGGGACTTTTGTAATTTCCGGTCTGAGGAGGTGGCTGCTGCCAAAGCTGCCACGAGGGCGAAAGGATGCTCTTTACACATTGTCAAAACAGTGGCTTGAGCAGGAACCACGAAAAATGGAAAGTAAGAGGTCATGGCGCGAAACCGTCTTAGGAATCCATCCGCAGCATCGATAGACAGACCACAATCAAGTAGTAGGTCAGGGCAAGACATGCAGTTGATTTTAGGATAGTCATTCCACTTATACAGAGGCTCTTCTGGAGTATTTAAATATGTGCTGCTGTTATGGCTGCTGTTGGGCGTGGAATCTGGTTCGCCGTGGCTAGAAGACGAACTATAGGTAGACAAGTCATTTTCCACGGACCCCACCGGGTGCTGTGGGGATCCTTGTCCGTGAGTCAATCTGGACTGGCTGGCGAAAGCAAGCAGGTTGTCGACCTTCGACTCTAGCGCACAAATTCGGGCTTTTGAGCTATACTTTGGCCTGTGACGCGACGGCCGCGGTGGTCGCTCCAGAAATACACAGTTTTTGTTGGAACTCTCACATTTTAAACAGGTTCCTGGCTGAGAGCTAGGAAGACAGCGAACTTTCAGCGAGCGGCATGTTTCGCATGCCTGGGAAGCCTTGCTCTTCAGCTCTCCCATTGGATTTCCTGGTTGGCGAGAATAGTAGGGAACACCAAAGTTGCGGGAGAGCTCAAATAGGAAGTGGTGGGAAGAGTTTCCAATAAAGATCGTGACACAGTAAGCCGTCAAAGTGACAATATCGATATTTCCTAGGAACTATAAGACCGGGTGAGCGGTGAACGGAACGGAATGTCCAATTTCGAACTCCGATCCGTGATGACTAAACCCTCATTCCATCCATGGATGGGACTCCCGCTCCCGAGGGCAGATCCACGGATGTATCCGTGATGACCCATTGGTTTGCAGTCCATACATCCATGGATATTCCCACCGCCAGCGATATGCCTTAGAACGGAACGAAAACCACTTTACCTCCGTCCCGCGATCTAGGCGGAAAGAAGTGAAAACGATAATGTGGATTTTCATGTCCTCAATGTATATAAAGAGCTGGTATGGTCATCCTTTTGTGTCTTCTTCATCCGTCTTCCCATCCTCTATCAATCAGCCATGGCACCCATCCAGTTTGGCGTTATCTTGATACCATTCCAGACCATTGACGTTGCTGGACCCGTGGATATCCTATCCAGCTCGTCGATTCCTTTCTTGCGGAAGAGCAGCAGTCCCGACATTGCTGAACGTGGCATTGATATCGAATTCCACTATATCGGCGAGAATATGGACCCTGTCCTGCACTCTGCTGGTTTCAAATCCAAACCTACAATCACCATTGCGGATTGTCCTAAGCTTGACTACCTCCTGATTGGTGGGCCAATGTCAAGCTATATCCGAGATATCCCACCAGCGATCGCAAATTTTGTGCGCGAACGTGTGGACGAAGTGAAGACCGTTTTCACCACTTGCACCGGTGCAATCTTTGCGTCCGCGCTAGGTCTGCTGGATGGGTTAAATGCCACAGCAAACCACGAAGTCATGGGGCTTGCGAGGGAGATTGCTCCCAATGTTAAGTGGACGACGGAAAAGAATTGGGTCATTGATGGCAAATTCTGGACCGCTGGTGGCGCATGCGCTGGCATGGACATGATCGCTCATTGGGTCATGGAGAACTACGGCATGGGTGTGGCTGAGCGCGGGTTTGCAGTTCTTGCCTATGAGCCGCGTGATGTGGATGGAAAGCAGGTTGTCTTGAGCAGACATGCTTCAAAGTAATCGAGATGCAACAATGTGGATAGCACGGAAATCGGAACACTTGGACATATCAAAATTCTAGATTCATCAACTGTATTTGGTTAGTGACTAAGGTTATAAATAACTGAACTTTTTAGACGCGGTGTAGAATTTGTCTTTCTAACACAGATTTTACCAGGTAGCGTATTGGATACTGATTTAATGCACTTAATACAGCTAAATTGCATGGATTATGCTATGTGCCATATAAGTCCATCACTGACCTCGAGGTAAGATAGCTAACTTGGTTCATGCGCGCCTTGGCGAGTAATATGATCTACAGGATACACGGGATATCTATGGAGCTAATGCGGGTCCTGCATGCCACGATGTGACCCTTGGCGGCTCATCACCCCATTAGGAAACAGGTCTCCTCGGTGGTCTGGTGACATTCCAAACTATACTTTGTTCGGGTTTATATGTAAAGAGTGAGATGTTAGCATCGGTTCAAATATCTGTTACAGTTTCACGGTCAAACAAGTCTAACCATGCACCTCAAGCTGCGAGCTAGCTTGGCCGTCCTGGCCGCCAGCCAAGTGACAGCTTTCTCACAGATAACAAATGATGAGATGAGCTCACTCCTCGAGGCAGGCGGCCTAGATCTAGCAGACCGCTACGCACCCATGTGGTTCTTTGGCCAAGCTCAGAATCAGCCACCTTGCTATCCAACCTGGGCTTATGGTGGTTCACCAGACACGGGGGATGTTTACGATGACGCCCACAAGACACCGGGTGTAGGGCCTTGTGAGTACCCGGATGTTGGGTGCAATTGCCGCCAGCCTGGAGTTGATATCGGGAATCGAGGACCCCAATTCCCGGTTTACTATACATATCAGCAATGTAGCGAGAGAGAGGTACGCGTCGCGTATAATCTGTTCTATGAGAAAGACGGCGCAAATTTTGATCTGATTAAGACTGGACATGAATAGTAAGTGAGCGCTTCTATGGCCTTGGGAAACGAACGCTTGTTCAGTTCGCCTCTAATATATGTTCCAGCGACTGGGAGCGAGTGATAATTATCCACTCTCGGGATGACAACAACATGTGGGCGCCATCGCGAGCCCTGCTGTCTGCGCATAGCGGATACCACAACCTGGCCTGGGGCGATATCCAAAACACCTTAACGACCGACGAGGTCAACGCTGGAAATGCCAAAGAGCCGAACGGTGTTCGGAATAATGACCATCCTAAGGTGTATGTGTCGTGGTCGAAGCATGCGCACTTCGATACTCGCAATACTGGCTGGAACGACCCGGCGAGTCAGTCGCTAGAGAATGCATTCCGGAGCAATGATTGGTGGTACTTTGTCGAGCCACAGTACTATGTGAGTTTCTTCATTCTCAAGCAGAGGAAGTACTCATATCTTGTTAGATCCGAGCCGATGGTGATACGGAGGCTGGTAAGATTATTGGGGCTGCAGATTGGGGCAGTGCAAGTAGTGACCCAGTGTCAGTGCACGCTGGTTTATGCCAGGCGTAATCATCGCAACATGCTTGAGCATCATACATATAAGTATATACCTGATTTTAGGTTGCGATCAGTAAATGTTACCTAGGTAGGCAGTCCTCTGCGCTGACAGTCAGCACGGAAATGCAAACGAGACAAACATGAAGGGTACCGGCCCTGTGATCACATATCCGACACTTCCCTCACTTAATGTCGACGGGCTGTAGCCAACGCCTAAGGCTATGGGCGGCACGGCTACAAATTATTCTTACAAGTGGCAATCTATACACTCGAGATATTGATCAAGCGGGTTTCGAAACGAGCTCAACATAGCCTTCACATCCGTTGAATGTTGACTGCCCACTGTAGGTAACCACCAGCAAATTCCCCAATTCCCATTTGGCTTTGGACAGGACCTGCAAGGTATCACGCTTATAAAAATTTCAGGTAGGGCGACTGTATATTTTTTCCTACTTGTTGTTTACAAAGCATCCGAACACAAAGTCAACCCAGCATGATCTAAACCCTGCCATTGCTCCTCACTCTATTTGCCTAGCGCCGCATTAACCGTATAAACCATCTTTAACCGAGAATATCTTTGAGACAGCAATGCTTTCCGGATTGGTCATCAATGCTTGCACTCACACTTTACCACTAGCCAAACGAACAACTCGGGCCCACTCCGTCTCCATCATTTTCCCCGTGGCCTGGGACAAGACATTTATATCCAACCACTTCCCTATATCATGCATTGCAGAATAGGTGTATGCCAGTTCTCAGGGCATGTCAAAGCCCGTACCAACAGCTCAAGCCTAAGTAGGAAACAGGTTAGCGAACTTTACAAAAAGCGCGATAGGGGTCAAGCTCACTTCTTCGTTGTCTGCTCCATCTGAACATCTGTCAGCCCATCACCCAGCAGGTTAATGAACACCGTATCGCCATCAGGGCCGCCAAGCCCAGCTCTGACAATCAGCCCAACCTGCCACCGGGTCACAGACTTGAGCTTCCGGAAGTTGGCAAACGGCTCCTTTAAGCCACCTCCTTGGGCCCCCATGCCCGGGATCCAGTTGAATACCTGCGACGTGAAAACTCTCCTGTTCAACCCGCGATGGCTGCTGGCCGAGCCTGTGATATAATGGCTTCCATTGGCCTGGTCGAGGGCGTTTTCGATGGCAGGCCATGGTGCATGCGCGTGCTGTGTCAAGGCTTGTTGATCAGCTTGCAGACGCATGAGCATGTCAAGCACAGACTCGTCCGGTGAAATCTTGATTAGATTCGTCACCGATTGCAGGAGCGGTCCAGCCACGTCTGTTGCCTCATCAAATAGCCCCAGACTGTCGTTACTCGCGAACGTTGTGGGCATAAATGGCCATGCGGTTCTTCCTGCCTGCACATTGGAGAAGACGGCGTGGTCATGACCGGTCTGCTGTACGTGCAAGAGCGCCAGCGCCGACTTAACGATGACCGGAGCCGATATCTGCGGGTGCTTCTTCCGAAGAGCTGCGAGGTCGGGAACTGCGAAACTGTGCGAGGCGCCTCTGCCGTAGCCTCTCCCCGTTGGATCGAAGGGACCACGCTTAGGTATCGGAGGCCATTGGGCCTTCTCGATATGGTTGTGAATGCCGTCGAGGTAGTTTGCGTGCCACTGTACCGATGCTCTCGCCTGCGGCGACTCCCGGAATGAGTAGTATGATTCTGCCCAAAGTTTGTAGCTTATGTGGGGAAGAAGGGGCTGCAGCACCGGACCATTTAAGGCTTGGTCAATGTCTGCGAGCAATTTTCCAGTGTACGTTGCGTCCATGACACCGTGGCTCACTGTGTGACGAGGTTAGATCAACTGCATCATGCAAGACGGTACAATTACACGACAGAAACGGAAACTTACCACTAATGATGAAACCCACTGTGTTGGTCTTCTTGACGTTGAAGAGAAGCACTCGAAACAAAATCCCAGGATACATTGCCCACTCCGGATGTGGATGAGCAGACGCCAGCTCTTCGAGCTCTTCCACTGTGTCCACAGAACCTCCATCCTGCAACACGTGGTCGTACAGGGCTTTGCTTGGCTTCAGCGTGACGTGCAGGGCGATATCGTCTTTGGGGTCTCTGGAATTTTCCTTGTTCCAAACGAGGAAAGATGGCAAAAATTGATTCCCGCGCAGCATTGCGGTTAATGCAAGCTTTACCCTCTGTAGTTTATCACGCCGTCAGTACTTTCTCGTGCACCAACAAGCATGCACTGCAAACCTCTAGGTGGCTGACTTACATCAATACTACTCTCCTTCTTCGTGACAAAGGCGTTCTGAAACTTGGCGCTGTCCAGGACGCCCTCCCTAGATAGCTCACCGACGAAATTTTGCGCAGGAAACACGGACGCCACATCGTCCCACTGAAAGCCGTGCTGGCTGATGACTTCCGTCACGAGCTTCTTAGTTGAAGCAAAAAGGGCTGGTTGAGCGACGGTGTGGACCTGAGGCTCTAGGTAAGTCTTTGCCGCTCGAACTTCAGCTTTTGGGGGGGGATAGGCGGGAAAGGGCTTACCATATCATCTGCACTCTTTGGACCCTCAATCTCAGTATCTTCTTGTACGTCCAGACTGTTTCCTCCACTCCACCTCCTAATTATCAGGTCAATCTGCGCTGACAGCGTGTCGTCTCCCGACACATCTCGCACCGAAAGCTTTTTCAGGCCGGGGATCACGCGTCGGAGGTGGCCCCTGACTCGTGCCACCGACAAGCTGTCAGCATATTGCGAGATGCTCACGTTGAGAGGAAGCTGATCTTCCTCCAAGCCAACGGAGCTCGCCCAGATTGCGAGTATTTCCTCTCTTACGCGCCTCTCGTTCCACACCAGGTCAGACTGGTCCGAGGCCTCTCTAGCAGCCTCCTCAGCCAAACGATCCTGGTATCGCTTCTGCACCAGTTGCCGAAGCGTAACCCTGTGGATTTTGCCCACAGATGTGCGAGGCCAATCTTGAAGGCCTAGTTGCTCTAGGTGAATTACTTCGTGGGGAGCCCACATCAAGCCCATGTCCTCGCGTATAGTGCGGTAAATCTCTGCTACGGTCTCACTGAACTCTGGACTGCTGGCGATGATAGCAACCGGAACCTCTCCACTGATGGAGTCCGGCTGTCCGACGATTTGAACAGACTTGGACGCTAGCTTCGGATTATTGGCCAGGCGGGCCTCAATGGCCGCCGGAGATATGTTCTCGCCTCCTCTGATTATCATGTCTTTAAGCCGGCCAACCACATACAGCTGGCCCTGCTCGTCAATCACCCCCTCATCGCCTGTGATGAGCCAGCGCTTGCCTTTCTCGTCGATATAGCAGGTGTCCTTGGTGTCCTGCCATCCGATATACATGCTGTGCTCGCCCCATGCGGCGCTGTAATGGATCTCTCCAGCAGTACCACGAGGTAGCGGTACACCGAGGTGGGCTGTCTCGCCGACCTGGCAGATCTTGACTCCGTCTCCAGCAGCTGGTCGTCCCACAGATAGCCCACCGCCTTCGCCAATCAGCTCTTGCGCGCTTGTTACAATGTCACTCACACAGGCCACGCCTTCGGTGCTACCGTAACGGATGCAGACGCCGCGGGTACCGAGGCCCTCGAAGCATGTTTCAATGTTATTGGTCGTCGGCGGTGATCCAGCCAGCATCACGGCCTTAAGACTTGTACGCATCCTGCTAGTGTCGTCCTCCAAATATTCCGCTATTAGGTTGATCATTCCTGGCACCATGAGGATGTGCGTGCATCGTTCACGAACCAGTGCTTTTGCTGTAGCCTCCGCCGAGAAGGTCTCCCCCGGTATCACGACTCCAGCACCCACTAGCATCGACGAGACCGTGCCAGTACTGCTAATTGAGTGGTTGTTTGGCGTTACAGTGCACCACAGGTCTCCGGGGAGGGTCTCGTAACCGGGTGTCCTAAACACATTCCGAGCCAATGACGCTTGGAGCTCACGACTGCGCAAAACACCCTTGGGCATGGAGGTTGAGCCGCTGGTGAAGATGATGCAACCGCGGTCATTTGGTGAGAGGTATTGGTGTCCGTATTCTCTACTCGTGTTATCGCCGGGTCGCTGAGGAATCGCCATTATATCTTTGAACAAAGTGTGGGTCTGAGATTTCTCGGCAGACACGACTACTGCAGCTCGCGGCGCCACTGACGCAAGGGCCGGGGAGCTGAGGTACTCTGCGTTGAGTGAAACTATGACGGGTGGTTCATTGTTCGTTGCCATCATGATTGTCTTGAGCGTGTATGCGAGCTCGCTCGAGTTGGATATGCGGCGCGGATCTAGGGATGCCATGACGGCTCCCAGCTCTATCGCCGCCCACCATGTCAGAACGAACTCGGCGCAGTTTGGAAGTAGTGTGACTACGGCTGTCCCTTTCCTGACACCCAAAGACTTCAAGCCTGCTTTGAAGCGGTCGACGCCCTGCCTCAGGTTCAGGAACGTCCATCGAAGATACGGGGCGCTCTCAGCACCGGCGGCCGGGACATCAGAATGAGGGCTCGAGATACCGTATAGGTTGGCGGCCTGATGTGTGCAGACAAGGGCGATGTTGTCCGGGTACTTCGCTATGGCGTCGTGGAATTGTTCCACAATTGATGGCAGCTGGCCTGGGGGAGCTTCACCCCAGACCTCGCTCAAGGGTTTGTGCATGGTAACGAGTAGGCTCTGAGCAGTCAGACGATAAAGATTAGTCTGAACGGAGACTTCCCAGCGCAACCCAGCAGAGAAGACGGGAGTGACAGGTGTACAACAATGCAACAACTGTCATGGGCCGGTTGATGTTAAATTACCAGAAGGTGATCCTCGGCGCAAGGGGGCGAAAGGAGATCGTGCGATATATCGACTGCTGCCTGCATCGCTGGATCTGGTATGCTTGATACATTGTGCATGGTACTTGTTTATTTTGCAGGTCCAGCCGTGGAAAATCCCCGTCCCTGTCTATTGATCAATTGATTCGTAGGAGTGTTCAAAAACTTGTCCAGAATACGTGTTGAGGTGCAGGATCCTGTTTCCTCTGCACGATACATCACAGGGTTATATTCGTGTACTCCGCATACGTATTCCGTATATGTACTCATTTGGAATATCACATTGCTAGTTGTGTGGCCTGCATATGCCGGCCATCACCTAGTAGGTACTTCATAACCGCGATCATCCGATCCGACTTCCCCCTGAATTGACGTATGCTTGTACATTCAGCTTTCCGTATATTATCCTCTATGTTCCAATAGTCCGAAGCCCACCAATTTTGCATACTGTCATTCCTGTTTTCAGCCCGCATTATGTCGTATTTTTTTCTTGTACTCGTCATCTGGGTTTTACTACAAGAAACGAATCATAGCACCATGTGGAACCAAAGAGCCAGTACGAGTGTTGTTTTTCAGGCTTGCCGTAGTTATGTTACATCTCTATAGTTACAGTTTGCATCTTCTATGTTAGGAGTCTCCCTTTCTACGAGGAAGCTTGTCATTTAAGCTTATGTACTAGCTAGCCCTGGTTCCTTGGAACTCTCAGCCCTATCTGAGTCAGCTGAATGGTTCGGTGAGTCAATTATGAAAAACCTCAGCTCAGCCCTGTGGTTTCCTCAAAAGGCAAGGGGTGAAAAAACACTGAAATGGAACAAAGGCCTAACCTAGACTTCGATTCTTAAATTGTTGCCTATTCGTATCAAATCGTTTAGGTCCATTGCCCCCCCCCTTTTTTGCCACAATAAATACCTCTCATTGGAGCACCAGTATGTTGTCACTGCCCTCAGATCTCACCATCGTCCATCTGGTCACTGGAATTCTCCATTCCACTCCATTTAGGGAGACCGTCGTGGAAGTCTAGCATGCGTGACTCGTAAAAGATATGACACCTAGCAGGATCGTTAGCCTCCACTTATGGAGTGGTAGCATATCAACATACGTTGGCTTAAATACCTCCCTCTTCTCTCTTTGCTCCTTAGTGGATCCCTCAATCTCAATCAGTTCAGGAAAGATCAAACACATATTCCGGCCTTCGTCCATGATCGGTGTCCGACAATTGGCACAAGACACCTTGGTAGGCAACATATGCTTTTGGGTTTGATGCGTCGAAGAATAAAATACTAGATTTCTCGTGCCACTGGTGAATGACATGTCGTGCTTGTGGAAAATAGCTGCCCATTGAAGAGGAGCACCGTGCGTGACCTGACACACCCGACAATGACAAAATTTGGCGTTGAGTGGTTTCTCTCGCTTCAAGATGTAAGTGGCCTTTCCACAGAGGCACTTTCCACGCCACTTGATGGGGCCGAATTCCTCCTCGGCTTGCGCCTCATATGGTGGAAGGTGCTTCCAGGCTGCTTCGGGAGTAGATTCTTGGGGTGTGTTGGTATATGCCGGGCACGGAATGGGATTGATGAAGTTACTGTCTTTTTCATCCATGATGTGTTAGGTATGTGAATTGAGTGAGGTTGAAGAAGTAGTTGTTTTGCTTTGCCTCTCCTGGGTCTCTGGGAGGATATGGACGAGGACCACAATGATGTCAATGACAGCACCAGTTAGATGTATAGATCTCAATGAATTGTAAGCGATTGCTCCACTAAATTTCTGGTGTCCCAGAATTCCTCGAAAGAAAATGAACTTGTTGACTTGGTGATGTCATGTGCGTTCTCCATCATCTCAATGTCACCATATCACAACCGGGAATTGTCTTTTTCCTATACTGAAAAGTCATTGTGTCTTGGCGAGTCTGGCTAGAAAATCTTCTAGTGGGAAGTATACGAGGATGTGATGGAGCCCTTAGACTGAAACGCCGTTGTTTCATGTCAGGGGCTGAGGGCTGAAGGCGGGGAGGCTATGGCTGACCCTGCATTAACGCGCTTTGTTCCCCCATCATCCTCTCAACCTTTACATTCTTCCACATCTTCCTAGCATGGGCTTTTTTAACAAGCTGCGGCGAAGCTCACGGCGAAGTGGAACGACCGACCCGCCATCGCCCCGCGTCAAGGTTGACGTGACCGGCCAAGATTACACCAAACACCTACCTCGGCCAGTATTGGCGCGCATTTTCGCCTTTGTTTGTCCTCACGCAGTCGATAACACATATGGTACCTCCGAGGAATCTGTAAGCGATGGATGTATGCTATGTGACATGCGCGACCTGGCGCACTGCTCGCTCGTGAACAAACGGTGGTTTTTGGATGCGCGGGCGCTACTGTAGGGGATCCCTGGCTTTTGGACGAGTGTGAGACTAACACCTATCTATTATCAGCTATACAAACGTCCGAATCGACCCCGTCCATTACTGCCAACTCGAAATCGAATTAGCCGCCAAGCGAAAACGGCGCTCGTTCTTTGACCGCAATGGCGATCCAATCGATGCTCCACAAGTCCGTCTGGAAATGTTTATGCGGACAGTGCGAGAGTCACAGGGGTTAGGAAATATGGTGTTATCGCTCCGAATGCCATATATGACTCGCGAGGCCAACAAAGCCAACGTCGCCCGGACCATCTCCGTCCTTCCTAATCTCCGCTTTGTTGACCTGCCAGTGGGTTTGTACAGCGACGAGGCATCATGTCTAGCGTTGAAACAGGAGTTGATGGCCCGATGCCCCGAGTTACGTCGGATGGCCTATCGCCGAGGTGCCGAGGGCAGCTTTTCGCGCCTACCTGGATGCCAGCTATGGATGAATCTGGAGGTGCTCGAGCTATCTGGAGTCCAAATGGAGGCTAGTACTCTGCGCGGCGGACTTGCTGCTTTCCCTTATCTTCGTGACCTCACAATTGAAGATCTCGATTGGCTTGACGATTCCGCATTTGCAGTGAACGTCCCTCTTCCGCCATTCCCGTCAGTCCAGTCTCTTACCCTTCGCGATACCCCTAATGTCACGGCAAGCGGGCTTGCCACATTCCTTTCCATGCCAGTGAACCGAGCGAGTCTGAAATCTTTGATATTATCTTCTACCGGCATTATTCCATCCGAATTACATTATATTCTTGCCGCGGCTCCACGGCTCGAGAGCCTCTCTATAATTCAGGAGGTCTCTCGCTCATTCCCCATGGAGCAAATCCCTCCCCTGGCATCCAAGTCGCTGCATCTCCTACACTATGAACTTACATCACAGACCGACAACCATGGAATGCCACCAGTGGTAAGCTCATACTATACCTATCTGATCTCGTCCTTGGTGTCCCGGACGTTACCAGCCCTTCGAGAGTTATATGTCCGCGATTCTTCATTCCCCGACACACTGTTGCTCATGCCTCCCCCACGACTCTTAGGTGGTGGTGAAAACGGGCCGCAGGTGCGGGGCGGTCTTTCGCAGCCCCTGAATGTATACAGTAAGGGTCTGGATGAGTTTGAATGGAATTTCACACCGTACGACCCTAGCCCGGCGCCCGGGCGCCGTGACTCAAGTACGCGCCCGGTCAGCTTCCACGAGGCCCAGCTGAGCCGGTCTTGGGGCGGCGATGCGCGCAAGAGCGTTCTCGTTGGTAACGGATTTGGTGGGTTCCTGGCCGTTCCGGCTGATGAAGAGCGACCTAGGAGTAGTTCGGGACACCACAAGCGGCTGAGCAAACAGGATTTATGGCGGTGAGGGTCTGATCTATGGAGGAATCCCACAGTGTGGAATGCTTTGTATCTTGAGAGGTCCGTGGCATTGGGCTCGAGGGTCAAAATTGTGTCTAGCAGAACGAGGAACGCGTTTCATGAATTGATGATTGAGTACATAGGTGTCTAAAGGAAGTGTTCAGTTTATTCAAGCATAATCGGGCGATATACATGCGTAGCTATTCCGTGCTTTCACTCTGTTCTGGCCATCCTTCTGGCAGCTGTAAACCGCGCCATACCCACTGTTTTTGGAGGTCGCTGTCGGTCATATTACAATAACCGTATGTCTGGCAATAACACTCACGTTGATCAATACAATACTGAGCCGGTTTTCCGAAGATCACTACAAACGGGCAAGGTTAGCAAGAGATCATCAAGACATCAGCGCGAAAGAGAAGACCCACTATGCCATGAATACTCCAGAATACGGCCACTGACACCGGCCTCCAAATCGGTATCCATCAGCCACCGCTGCAAACGAACGTAATGCTCCAGACTCTGTTCGTGAATCTTCCTCTTGGATAAAGCAAACTGACTACAACACGGTGTCCCGACCACCTCTGGGACTTCGGTCCGCGGAAACAATTCCATAAACCGATCGGGATACTCGACTGCAGTAGGATGTCCGAGGTCCTCTGGTCTTTCGCGGAGATAGCGAGCGGGTTCCAGTTCCCTGGGACAACCGACGCTCCACGCACAGCGCATATTCACGTAACCAGCTTCTTGGACGAAGTCGAGGTTGAGATGGTTGACGGAGATCACGGAGTCGTAGAGCGGGTTATCGACATGCCATTGGTAACGGCCGCCGTGTAGGAAGATTGATACCTCCGGAAGAGTCCAGTAACGATCAATGATATAGCTGATTGGGAGGATAGTGAGTATGGTAACGAGCTGTGGATTGAAACAGTTGCGGATATCGAAGAACATACGTCAGATATACCATAGCCTCATTACCCTTATTTACGGGCACCGTCAGACCGATGTCTCCTTGTTTCGCATCCGCACGATAGATATTCACTCGCCATTCTGACAAATGCTCTTCAACCCAGGACATATTGCTAGCCTGCATAGCAGCGAAAACCAATTCCTTCTTGGCGGGTACAACATCCGGAACGAAATGATCATCATCACCAGTCACAATGATCCCCTGAATGGTAGTCCAGCTTGTCCCTATACTCGGGGCTCGATCCAGAATCAGCTGATATGATAGAAGTAGTAAAGTCACAGCGAGACCGAGGTAAATGAAAACACGCGACCGTGGTGAGGCTACATCGCGGGGGGACGCGCAATCCCGAAGCGGGGAATAAAACCACCTCATTGCATGATTTTTGTATTTATGAGAAAGACAAAGAAGTACAATGGAATGGACAATGGATAGATGATAGGCAATGTTCAAGTCAGATATAAGAATATCTCCGGGTAGGCACTCTGACGTAGAAGACTCGGCGAATTTCCATGGTTACATAGAAATATCAACGCAGATGGATCGTGCAAAGGTACGAGAGGTACGAGAGGTACGAGAGGTACGAATAAGAAGAATAGCATTGAAAATCCGGTTTCTTCTACTAAAGTTGTGCCTGTTGTATCCACAGCTGTTTTAAGGATGCCTAGATAAGACACTGAAAACGGAAAATTGTTTCAGTACATACTACATGGATGGTAGTATGCAACATACTGACACCTACTGATACTATCTCACCCGAATCAATTTGCATCTGGGATTGAAAAGGACTTGGATCGACTAACGTCTTGTACGAGATGTATAGAAGAGCATCTCACGCCTGAAGATCGGTTTATATCTCCGGACCCACATTTTTCTTGATAACGTAATTGGTGGTAATTTATCAAGCGCATTCACTCCATACGCGGCCCGTGATTGGTTCAGCTCACCAACAATCCGATTGTACGTCTTCGTATTACCGATGGGCTAGACCGGAATAGGTAACATGGACCTTAGCGTAGAGTCGGGTATGGCAAGAACCGTTTGGCTTATCCGGGTTGGAGTCCCGGGATATTCTTTTGAAAGCATCTACTGGATAATACTGGATAAATCGGTTTTTGGTTCTTTCAAATTTCTATATATTTCCAAAAAGGAATGTTAAAGATACAAAAGAAAAAGAAAAAGAACGAATCTTGCTCACGAGCACTCTTAGTAGACTCACCTGAGCCTCGCATCTAAAGTGTCTTACGGAAACCAATAACACTGGGACGACTCCTCAGATTATATCGGGTTTGAGTAGAGTCTTGGCGCGGACGCGAAGTTGATGCACGAGATTTGCGTTTGGCAGAAACTGCAGACTGGATTGCCTTTTCATCAGCTGGGGTCAGTGCAGGGAGGGTTGTGGTCCGGATTGGTTGTTTCCCGGGCCTGGAGGGGGTATAGTATGTACCTATCGGTTGTGAGCTCAGTGGTTCTGGAAGAAAAGTAATCTCTTGGGGCACATTGACATGTGAATCCATTCCAAAAGAGAAGAACGGGTCCAATTGCTGGGATTGATTGAAGAATCCACCGTCGATACAATCATCCCAAGACAGCCCGGAAGCGTCTATATGAGGTAGGCCCGCCATGTCAAACGAGTTCATCTCCGGTAGATCAATAGTGTTTCGTTCTGATAGATCGATGTCCATGTTCATATCCATGCGCAGATCTAGAGAAGATGGTTCAACAAACTTCATTTCTCCAGTGTTGTGATTCAGACCAGGGAGAAAGTCTACATTGGCCAGATCCTCCAGTTTCAAGGTGTCGTCGTTCAAAAGCTGGGTAAAGTCCACATTAGCCAAGTCCTCTTCGGTCCAGTTCACCGTTTGTGTCAATTCCGATGCATTTGCAGCTGGCTCACCCATGGTATCGTCATTCAAAAGTACGCTGAAGTCAATCTCTGGTAGATCCACTCCGCTCCAGTCTATCGTGTGTATCCAGTCAAGATTATTCATATCTGCTGAGCCGGTAGAACATTCTTGAGGTAGTTGTGCGTTGGTTTGATCCATAGTGGGTTCCATTAGAGCGTTCTCAAGGAAGCTGGAGTCCTCTGTCTGCTCAGGGTCTAATTGTGGGAAGTCTGGGGTCTGTTGCACTGACGCCTGGCTCCCTTGGTTGAACGAGGCCCGAGTCTGTGTGCGTTGTGATGAAGTCGGAGGGGTGGTGAAAGACCCAGTAAAGCTGGTCCCAGGAGATGACATCCATGTAGGTGTGTTATAAGGTTTCTGGACAACGAAATCTTCGAAAGGCAATGGCTGTAAGTAAGTAACATACTGATAGTTCGAGCGTTTGTGGTCTACGGCCTGTGGCGGGAGTGATATCTGCATATAGGGATGCATGGACCTGATGGGCTCTGAGCCCGGGAATTGGATCGTCGGCACTGTGATGTCAATAGTGTCTAGCCAAATCCCTAGGGCCAGGTCCCCACTAAACTTGGGGCTCTTTTTGCGTAGCTCAGCGAACTCTGCCTCACCAAAAACCCTCACTTTCTTCCCGTGTCTTGTAATCTGCTGTGGATTCATCCGGTAATACCCACAGTACCTAAGAACTGCAGGAAGGACCAGCTCAGGACGATAGTCCGAGACGCATTTCAAGCCAGTAATTTGAAAGTTGTTACTCCCGTCGGGGATAGGCTTCCTACTATATACTGCGTGAACAGCATACTGTAGAACGAAAGAAGGAGCGGCATCCATGAGATCCCGGAATCTGCGGAAAGCAATAGCCTGGAGGTCAGTAATTCTAAGAAGAAGAGCAGTTTGAAACATCGACAAGTGAATGCGCAAGAGCTGACAAATCTGAGGACAAGTCACGCAGCCACCAGGGCAGGCCCTAACAGAGTAATGGTTTAAGTCGGCTTCATCAACGGAATAGTCGCCAGTATAAAAGAAGTTGAGAAGGCTATCAATCTGCTCGAGACGTACCAAATCAGGGAGAACAAGTCTATGCTTATTACCGGTCTTGTGAATCCGCCAGTCGATCCAACGGGTCGACTTGCGAACAATGTCCAAGTGCACATCCCAGGCGCGTTTGCGGTTGTCTGGGTGTCGCAACTCGAAATCGGGGATATTAGCTTTGAAGTATCTAAGAAGATGTTAGTATCGTTTGTATGGGGGATGTTGTTTGTCACTTACTTGTCCTGCTCGGCTTGGAGTTGAGCCTTGCGGTTGCCTAGCTCGCCCCAACCCAGCCAAACTCGAGGTAGGCCGGCATGAGCGTTGCAATGGTAATGGGGAGGCATATTCGCGGCAAGACAGTCTCTGGGTAAGATTCTTTTAGCCTGGCCTGGTTTGATGGGAGTCAATACCAAGAATGCGAATGTAGATGTGAACTGTGAAGAATGCGGATTGTGCCAGGACATCGAGGCTCTTAAATACTCGAGAGAGTTCTTGTTGACAAAGGTATTGATCTCTTTGTATCTAAACAATGTCCGTCAAGTCATCAAAGCCAATAAAGAGTCTATAAATACTTTGGATATCAAACACCGTGGTTCTTTGTCCCTCGATTATCCTGCGACGCACAATTTTTCGATTCGGATCAATCGAGAAGTTTCCTTTCAAGGAATAACTCTTCTTGCTCTGATTATAGGGTTCTTAAACATGGCAATTGTCTTCCTTTGTCATTCTTATGGAATGCCGTCTTCGCCTAAGCGATAACCATGGAACAATACTCTCTGTACTTTTCTGATGTAAAATCCCACCTAGCCACAGAGAATCAGCATCAAACTCCGCAAATATTTTATGTATTGGTCATAATATTGTCCACTCATAAGTGCTCTCCGTCTAGCACTGTCCCTTGACCACCAACACAGCTGCGTCATGACTCTTCAGTGAAGCGCTATACTCCGACTTTACACATCCCAGATCCTTGCCAGTCCAAGCATCAATGACCTTATATGCATCGTGACTCTTAAGCTCGGGAATGTCGCTCCATTTTGCAGTGCGAGTAGATGTAGCATCCTCGGAGTTCAGCATAAGCACCAAAGTACCCTCTAAAGTGGACGACGGACCGGACCAATATTCTGCTGGATGAACCGGATCGAAAGTCCAGTCGGAGTTGTACCCCCACTTATAAGGATGCGCAGGAGTGCCAATGACAGGGTCCTGGTTGAAGTCCAGGAGATACTTGTTCTTCAGTATAGCCAAATGGTCATCCTTGATGGAATCGAGCTATTCTTGTGTCAATATGCCTTTCTATGAGAATGAGAGGTCCAGTCGTATCACGTACTTCGGTGCCAATAATCAGAGGGGACTTCATAATAGCCCAAAGTGCAAAGTGCGCCCTATTTTCCTCGATTGTAAGATCTCCATTACCAACTTCCAACATGTCCGGGTCGGGATAGCCCCAGAAATTGGCGTAGTTCATCAAGAAGCTATTCTCATTGGCAATCTCGGCAATACGAGCCCAATCCGCTGAATACAGGGTCAGTCAATGGTAGCCCCAAGGTATTAAGTCAGATAACTTACGGGTGATATCAAGTGACATGCGCCACGAGTTTCCGGTTTGATTGCCCCAGGAATTCACACCAGCATAACCCCAGTCACAAAGGGAATAGAAGATTGTGCGGTCAACATTGAGAAGTGCATCGCGCATTGCAGTGTAACGCTGGTATGTCTTGGACGTTTTCCAGTCATATCCTTCTGGGGCAGGCTTGGCGAGATCGGGGCAGGTGCCATTAGGGAAGTTCCCTTGATCAGGGACGCAGTCATTATATGCATCTTCCCAGTCACTGGGGACTCCGCAATTGTCATATTTGAGGTCTGCTAATTTCAGTATCTGGTAGAAACAGATCCACAAGGAATGTATAAGACCTACAGTCAATTCCCCATTCGGCAAACGATTGCGCATCGACTTTCTCGTACCCCAGACTGGCGGGATATTCAGCGCAGGTAGTCTCACCAGCGCCTTGCAGATATTAGAGACTTTTGACCAGAACATAAGCAGAAGATGACTGGTACTAACTGCTGTAAATCCCGATCTTTAGCCCCAAGTCATGGACTTGCTTTGCAACACCAGAAATACCATCGGGAAACTTGGTTGGATCTGGAATAATTCGCTTTGTGCTCTCATCGCGTTTGTTCTTAATGCTCCAGCAGTCATCGACTAAAGAGGATCAGTTATTTGCACTAGCTGTATGGGAAGATTTAGTTCATACTGTTCACGTATTCATAACCTAGATCCTTCAGTCCAAGATTGACGACCTCATTGGCTGCGGTAACGATCTTCTTAGAATCAATTTCGCATCCGAATGCATTCCAGGAATTCCACCCTAGAGCAGGTAATCTGCCCTATTTTGAGTCAATATTTTGCTGATTTCTTCGTAATGCCCGAAAGGAGAGAGAACGTACAACATCATCTTCCCTCACCAGAGCATTTGCTGCCGGTAGCAAAGGCAATGCAACAGCGAGAGTCAACGGTCCTAACATGACTTCGATTGTGTTCTCTGGACTGTTTTACTAAATTCTATAAACCCGTCAACTTGTTGATCTTTATATTCCACGTGCGGGGAATAGTCAATGTCACCATGTCACCCGAATTAAATTGACGTGGGAAGAATACTGTCGATCATCGCAGGGTTTCATTCGCACTGGGTAGTATTGTTTACATCCACAAGAGCACTTTGATTGAAGGGTCCAGAAAATCTTCCGATTCTTGCATAATGTCATATTAGTCCTCCAATCGTTCGGACCGGCTATGCAGATCACTAAAATATGGGCGGATACCACGAGTACTATGTCATATATGAAGGCAAAGTATTGAGTTCGGTAGGTTGACACCGAAGTCGTAGTAGTTATTAACTATTTCTTTGTCTATGACTCCTATTAGGGGCAAACGCAATGACATCGTAGACAATGCAACCTCATTCATCCTCCTAGCTAATATTTACATGCCCCAGCAGCAATGGTCAAAAACTTGGATTCCGTGCTGAATCAGGATCAAAATGGGAAGAAGGGCCTGCAACGACACCACTGAGACAACTGACCACCTTCCCCGGCGTCTTGGAACACCAGCTCAAGCCATCTCATCTGACAGATCCGACTCTTCCGGGGCATTGTCGATCAACCAAGCTGTACCTGGTCAACTCGCACTGCCGTCTGTGTTTTGCTCGCAATGTGCTGCCACAACAGCATTACTGGTGAGCAAAAATATTTGGCAAGGCCTGCCATCGAATGGAACGTCTCGCAGGCTGGTTGATGCGATTATTTAGAAAACGAGCAGCAGGCCGAAGGCCACAGGACTTGAGACAGCCTGTTAGATCATAAAGACAGGCAGGGCAAACTTGTCGAGTATTCAATGCGAACCCCTATTCCAACCGCCAAGGTCAAGCTCCATGCTTCGCGCTATGGTATCGTTCTTCATCGGGCCGAGGGAGATAGGCGATTATGGTAGCTTTGGAATTCAAAACATCAATATCGCCGGATTTCATAGCCCGGGTGATGCTATTCCCCAACCTGACTATCAAGCAATTAACTAAAACTAGGCCCCGTTGCGTCGTCATTCCACATGCTCGCGAATCTTCTGCCTTGCCTGGATTCTTCACATAGAACTTTATCAAAACATCGGGCTGCTCTTCCAAGACTTGTAGCTGTTCTTTTTAGAGGCTTGCATACTGATGTTTATGACTTTTTACCCACAACAGCCCCAATATTCCCACACAAGTCACGTATCCCAGAGCTGTCGCCGATACCAAGATTATGAAGCCGAGATTGAATTGTTCTTTAGGCTTTTCGACCTGAGCCCTTAGATCCCAAGCCGGTAGCCCTTTATTCCCCACACACGGTCGCACCGGATTGGGAATACACTCTCCCGCTCCATCAGCAATTAGAAAGAAATCTTGAACCAAGCCAGATCCATCAAGGAACATTTGTCGTTGGCTTTTGCTGCAAAGTCCCAAGTTCAGAGTATAGCATGGATTGTCTTCGGCAACTGGTGGTCGCTCGTCTTCCCACTCCCACGACGGGTATTCATGAAATGTGGCATAGCTTGCATCAGCGAGAACGCTTCCTGTGGCGATATCAAGGCCCGTGATGGCACGATTATAAATTGTGTGTGCGATCTGTGGCTGCTGCATTCCTACACTGTGGCTGGCACTATAAACACGAATGAAGGATAATCCTCCTCCCTGTTGAACCTGTGCCGCTTTGGGATACAATGGAATGACAATGTCTTGGATACCTGCCTTTCGGAAAGTTTGTGCCTTAGACCATTGTATCGCCTGTGAAAGAGCTTTGCCTCCGAGCCCTATTTTCTCGAGTTAGAGGCCTTGTTAATATCGTGGTCTTGCATTGGAATTACTCACAGTTGCAAGCAAAATCACGATCGCCGTACATTAACGTCACGCTGATCCCGCTGTCCAGGATGCTTCCTATCGCTTCCAAACTCCCGCCCTTTACATTGTCACCACTCATCGAGAAGGCTCGAGCCACTACTGGTGAGTTGGCGCTGAAATTGAGTGGTACCCCCAGTGCTTCCTGGATATGACGTTGATTCAGGTACCCAAAATATGTATCCATCAGCGAGTCTGGAAGAACATCATCTGGATACCCAATGTCGAACGCGCTGATCCCACTTGTGGATAACATGCTCGCAATATGCTTTCCACAGTAGGAGTTTGCTTCGTGACATATCGCATTCGCAGTTGCATTCTGCCCGAAGTCGTCTGCTTGGGCAGGTGCCGCAGCTCTGCATGCAGCAATCTTCTCCAGGCAACCGTGGGGTTTTGTCAGGTGCTGCTGCACAGATTCATACTCGGCCACGGTGATAAGAGATATGTTGTATGTGTTTGCTCTTGCCATTTCCGCATAATGTGGTAATTGAACAGGGGCGTCGAGGCAGGCGTTGGTCAATCCTACTGAGCCGATGTGTATCTCCCGATACAGATCTAAGCTCAGAGCTCCAGATTTGAGTCGTTCATTCTGCTCTAGGGTATATTTCACCATGGTGGGTGCATAATGACCCCCATATGAGGCCGACCAGATGTTTATTGTCGGGTTGGAAGATTGACGTTCTTCAAACATCGCTAGCCAGAGCTGCATATAGAGCCATGTGCTCTGTGCCACACTCTGGGTGCTATTGGTAGTGCTTTTTGGGTTGTTGCTGCTGAAAAGGCCTCGGCGGGAGCCTGGCATTGACGAGCTCTTAGCACTTTTTGAATTCACATCAAGCAACACTTCTCCAAAAGCGCTTTGTGTCCCCTCCTCGAGGTTATCATAGCTAAACCCAGTCTGAACAGACTGATCGAGATACAGCATATCGGACTCTGAATTCCACGACCACTGGTTCAGACGCGTAGTACTGCTATCCGCATTGACTTTGCACGGGCCGTGCTCTCTAAACAGTTGCATCAAGGTTGAGGCTCCTGGGCCACCTCCTAGATTAACTGTCAAGGGTGCATCATCTCTTCTTTCGCGATTCTGGAAGTACCAGAAATGAATATTCATCGGGTAGGACTGATCTAGTCCGACTTCCTCTAAAGTGCCTGGGGGCAAATGGAGGTATCCCGAAAAGGATGCCACGCCAGGTGTCTCTTCACATATGGTGACCGGTTTATAGTCAATTTGTACATTTTTGTGAAGATCTGAAAGCTGACAGTGCACCAGACTAACGTAGGAGAAAACCAAACTCAGGGTTAGATATAACATTTTGGGCGAACATAGGAGAGTTGAAGCAGAACTCAGGCATCTCGAATATTACAGCCTCCATTAATTGTCAAACTATGAAATAAAAAATACCAAGGTGTATACGGACGTTACTCAAAAATACAGTAAGCATGTCCTGGTGTTTTGTTACGGTCTATCCTGTTTTGTTACGGTTTATGCGCCCTGAGCGCCCTGAAGAAAAGATGCATTACAGCGGGTCCAGCGGGAGACATTCCGCCTGCATAGTTTACATATTGATACTTGATGTTCGTCCAACGTAGTAAGTCTAGGGATTGAACAATAATCCGCGGGACTTGTCCCCATCTCATTGCCATCCCTCAAGTTCGAATTTCTATTTTTTTTTCTCAGCAAACTATGGACGGTGCAAGAATTTCGATCGAAGAAGACAAGAGGCTTCTTTTAGACGATCTTACTGACCGTCACTCCGAAGAGTCACAGTCTGTCCGTCCAAGAAAAAAGCGATTTGATTGCATTCCAGTAGCTACTCTCTCCGCGCTTCTCTTGTTTTTCGCCTTATATTCAGTAGCTCTAGTATCTTTCATCAAACGTGGATGCTCAACTTCTTCATGCACTCAATGCCAACCATTATTGTATTGTGAGTTTACCAAGTATTACTATTTTTCTGCAGGCATGTCACTAAAACACTCAAGCGCCTGCCAATGGCATCCTCACCAAGGAGGAAAAAATCCTTGATGCTTCCGTCCTTCGTGGCAATGTTTACAAAGGTCCTCCTCGGCCAGAGCTTGACAAAGCATGGCAAGAACTCTTGCTCGACGCCAATGTCCGTGTCTCAGGCAAAGAGCTGGCCAAATCAGGCGGGGAATCTATTCCCCTTGGAGATGGCTCCGGTTACTACGGCATTCTGGACGTTTTCCATCAGTTGCATTGTCTGGTAAGTACGAAATGATGCCTCGATAGTCTACTGGTACTAACCAAGACATGAAAAGAAATACGTCCGTCACTTTGTCTTCCAAGACTACTATAATGACACCATGCCATGGACGCCTACGCATGTGGACCACTGCATTGATAGCATCCGACAAAACCTGATGTGCAACGCAGATTTATCGTTGATGACTTTCCATTGGGTTGATGATGATATGGCTCCAAAGCCTTTGTTTCGGAGGACTCATGAATGCGCAAATTGGGACAAAATCCAGGATTGGGCTTCAAAGCGATCTTTCAATCCCGATGATCCAAAGTTGCTCCTTCATCCTAAATTAGCCAAGAATTGAGAGTTATTTTATTACCAATATTAACATATCATTCTTCAAAAGTGGGAAATCCTCATATCATACGATAGTATCTATATCAAATCACAGAGTCTTTTTGATATAAGTACTCGCCTAGAAACAGGGAGTTTATTGCTTATATTTCCAAAGATTACATTGAGTCTTCATGACTGATCTAATAATCCAAGCATGTATTTCTCACATATGAAGGTCATCATCTCCTGGTGCGTATGCCGATCGGTAACCAGATGTCCAGTTATGAATCTGCCAGTAATCCTTGCACACATGCTCCTGTCCATCTTTAAATTCCTTTGGTCCAGTCATCGGGACGAATGTCATGTCAAAGTTGCACATGAGAGTCTGCCGTATTTGATCCAAGCAATGCACAACATGAGGCCACGGTGACATTTCCTTGCCATGAACGTGGTAATGGAAGAACGCAGATCGTAATATCGTCTGTCAAGTATTACTTATGGACCATTTGTGGACAGTCCAGGGGGAGAGACCTACCAAACAATGCAAATTATGATATCCCGCGAGAACATACATCACTTTGTCCTCGGCGTCTGGATCTTGAATTGAGTCTGGAAGGTTGTTGGCACTTGCCTCTGTTTTAAAAAAGAGATACTTGTCCATTTCCCGCTGTTGTCGGATACGTTAATAATCTCTGCTGTGTTGTTGGGTGATGCAACTTACACGGGAAGAGGCCCTTCCACAGCTCATCCGCGTGGGGCTTTTCCTTTTCCTCGCCATTGAAAGGTGTGTCTTGATAGAAGGCGGTATGGGTCATGTCAATCGATGGGACTAAGTATTTATTAGCGTGTGTTGGAGCAAATGAGTCAAGGAAAGAACAACATACAGTTGGAGTGATGATAGGTAGACATAGAGCGTCTTGAGATTGCAACCCAGATCCATCCTACATTGCTCAGAACAAGTAAGACGATCAAGATCAATGTTGTTGCCAATAGCTTGGTCGAGTATCTGTGTCGAGGGCAAGCCTCTGAGGGTGTGTAGTCAGATAGCTTACCCTCTTCGCCCTCATCAGTGGCCGGGACTGCTTCATACTTCATTTTCTTTATCTGATTTTCCCTTCATGTGTTATCATTGAGGAATTGAATGAGATTTGGCTGGCACGGAAAGTGTGAGTGAAGAGCCTCAGTGGAAAAGGTGAAAAGTAGCCCGATACCCTTGAAATCGTCAATGTAGACATCACAAATGCACCGATACTCCACTATACCTCATCTGGTAAGATGTTGGTCTCTCGTATTCATTCATGCAGATCAGCCTTGGCATAAGATATAAGACTCTGCTGTTGCTTGGCATCTGCAATACAACCCCGAAAAGCATAATTTTTCCACCTTTTCACAGTCACGCGACTACAACATACCCTAAGATTTTGGTCTGACTTGCATGCTTGGGGTCTAAATAAGGACCCTTAAATCTTACTTTTTTGCCGACAAGATCTGGAATAAACCTCATACAATAGCCTCAATCACAAATCGTTGTAGATGTCTACGTCGGAGAGATCTAGCATCCCCGATAACATGATGTTTGCTCTACCGCTATATGCATGGTAAGCGTCGAGAGTATGAGGTCAGATGAAAGAATTTTGCGTTAACCATGCACGCCCTGAAAAGTTCGCCACCACTGTCTGCATCGGCTTAGCAATACAACGCCAATATGTAGGGGGGACGGCTGGCGTGCTGAAACTTGGGCCGGGCGAAAGAATTGCCAGTTAACGATGCATGTCGGAGCTCCGTCAACGTGCAGTCAATAGCCACATCGCAGTCCCTTCGCTGTTCAAGCTGGGAGGACTTCCGCATTCTTCCGCTATCTGCATGGCTTATTTCCCCTCTCGCCATTCTAGAGCACAAGGACAATTACTGTAATACTTTCATACCTCATTTCTGACCCTCGTTTTGCGTAATTTGCATACAGCGGCCTTTTTCTAGCCTGAATACGCAATCGAAACCCAAGCGAACTACATATGTAATTTGCTGGCCAAAATATCAGGCTCTTGATAGTCGTGTGGGTTGCCGAATAGAGGGCTAGTTGCATGTCTGAAAGAGATGTTGGGGTATATATAATCGTAAAAGGCAAGCCGCTTATCTTCATTCTGTTAGTTCTTTAACCTGATCATTAAATTTCCCCCTATATACGATTCCAGATCTTTCTCTCTGAACCGGCTGTATCCAACCATAGCAATGCTGTTCAAAGTCTCTACTTTCCTTGTCGCTGCATTTGCAGTTCCGGCCTTCGTGGTTGGAGCTCCTATTGCATCCGGTGATATTGAGGCCACTGGCAACTCCGAGGCCAGCACCAACTCTGCTTATGTCCACGGCAGCTACGGGTTTGATGAGAAGAAGAAGCGGGAAGAAGCCAGCACCAACGACGCTAGCGCCAACTCTGCCTACGTTCATGGCAGCTACGGCTTCGATGAAAAGCGCGACGTGGCTAGCACCAATGATGCTAGCACCAACTCTGCTTATGTCCACGGCAGCTACGGGTTTGATGAGAAGAAGCGCGACGAGGCCAGCACCCACGAGGCCAGCGCCAACTCTGCCTATGTTCACGGCAGCTACGGCTTCGATGAGTAGATCATATACTGTTTCAGGGGTGATCTCGACTTCCGAATGGCCCTGGCCGTGTCGCTTTGAGAAATTGATGCATCTGATGATTGTGTCTATTGAGTCGGGACGTAGAAAGCCTTTTCAGGTTTTCTTAATTTGGTCTTTATCATCTTCACCAAATACACTCCTTTCACGGTTTGATTCAAGTCCTTGGCCGTTCTACCTGTAGCAAAGAGTCGAGGATAAAACAACAGAGATAGAAGGAGCAAGGGGTCACACCTTTGCAATGTAGTAAAAGAGCAAGAGATTAGCATTGTAGCACAAGAGCACGTATCACCTTACGAATGGGATAAAACGGTGTGTAGTGAAGAGATGTATGTTGGAATCCACAGAGAAGTGTCGATCGTTCCAGACTCCCGGTTATGCCCACCAGTGGACGGGCACTCGCTATCTGGATGTACACACTGTGATGATTACCTTACCCGCTTACTATTGACACATAGAATATACCCAGGTAACGATACAAGGACCTGTGAAAGAGGGCCAAAAATGACAGTTACTGGCACATGAAGCAGCCGCCTTTCCACCGTACCTTCTGGCGGCAAGGCCCTATCATCCCGGGCCACTAATCTGCACCCGCCAAGCGTCCTTAATTATCCTCTTGAGCCGAATACTATGGGCCAAATGACACGTTTCGCCCCAGATCACACGTATTTCTTAGTACCTCTAGGCACCCCCTAAGTCTGCAGCAAGAAGGTTTTCACCCCATCCAAAATATGTCCAGGAGGACAAGCTCATACTCTCTGTCATCAATCGCTGGGCATTTGTTGGCGAGATTTGTATACACAGAGACCCTAGATGGGTAGTTAACACGGTCTTGCGGGTGGAAAGGCTGTGATGTACTATGATGTTCCAAAGAAACGCCTCTGGTGGATCTCGAAGGGAGATCGTAATTTTTGTAAAATAAAATGTAACATCCCGTTAGGAGGGCTGTAACGAAATTATACCATACAATACTTGGCAGTGTCATTTCTAGGCTTTATACCTTTCCCTATACCTAGCCTCTTCCCTTCTTACCAAAATCTTCAACATGTCTTCTCTCTATTCGACAGTTTACAAAAAGCTTTGGGGATACCATGAGGTCGATTTAGATGAAGAAGAACAGGACTTGAACCCTCCACGAATGCTCGGTCGCCATTACAACTCTACTTCAGGATCTCTTTGGCCCTTTCTCGGATGGGTGCTGGCTGTGATTCTCGCAGTTGCCCTTGTGGCTAACCAACGGTTCGAGAACCAGAGCGACCTAAGTTGTCAGAGACAACTATCAACTTACTGTGAGACAATCACATCTCCCAATCCTTTCTGTCCAATATGTTGACGGGAAGTATAGCCCCACTAATGGAGGAATTCAACATGGACAGTCAAGTTGTCCGCGTCAATGGCTCCCTTGACTGGCCTTCGCCTTACCGTGGACCTCCAAGTCCAGAGGTTGATGCGGCATGGAATCGGATATCGATAAGTGTGCATTGAGTAGCCAGATAATGGATAACAGCGAGTAACAAATTTGAACAGTACGACCACTCGACATACAATTGACACGAGACGAATTTCTGCGCCTTGATGACGATCCCGAGACGGCGGCTCATAATGCACCAGAACATGGTGGACAATACTTCTTAGTTCCGCAGTCAACACATCATTTCCATTGTTTGGTATGACCCTTGTATCCTCTGACAGTTCTGTATGCTCATTAGCTTCATATAGAACCTTCTCCGCAAGTCAACTCGTTTCAAGTTCGACTACTATGACGCCTTTGATCCGGACTTTACCAAGAACCGCAAAATGTTTGAAGTACATCTAGGTAAGTACTCTAGCTACAACCAGAATCCACTGATATTGACCTGCTTAGACCACTGTGTGGAGATCCTTCGTCAATTCATTATGTGTCATGTGGATGTTGGCGTTGTCACTTCTCACGTAAGTTGTATTTTATGATCTTTGAACCAAAGTGAGACTGACTTAGTCGAATAGTGGGTCGAAGGTCGTAAAAAGCCATGGCCGAATTTCAATACCCAGCATGTTTGCAAAAACTATGAGCAAGTGCTGGAGTGGACAGAGAAGCATCAACTTCCCGAAAATACCCCGCTTATGCCTGCAAAGCCGGCTGGAGTTGCTGAAATGAGTTCCCCTCCGTAAAGCCGAGCACGAGATATTAGGTAGATAGCTAGAAACATGGGGATTATGTGTGGAAATACCATAGAGTGCAGATCTAAAATAATCGAAGTAGTATAATACAGCCACATCATGGTAATTATTTGTGAACATATCATATAGTGCAGGTTTAAAATTTCTGACATAGTAGAATACAGCCACACCATGGTAATAGGGTCCATACTGAATGAGTGGAAGGAGGGGTCTCGGCTGGTTCCTACGATAAAACAGTCTCAAAAGAGCGGTGGGAACGTGGGGGGATCGATACCAGATTTGGGTTGATACATTTCCGACCTCTTGAAAAGCCGGATCAAGTATCCCGCACGAAGTAAGGTTTTTGTGACATCGCAGGGTTGAAGACATTCGGAGGCAAGGAGCAAATCTGCCGCCTTGAAGATCCACAAGCTGAAACAAGTGTCGTGTGACTGTGCCGCTAGCCAAGTATGTCAGATCTTCAGCATACATGGAAGAATATGTGATCTAATCTAGAATTCCTCCAATCAGAAGAGTTTACTTCATATACGTAACCAAAGATACCGAAGTATAGATGCAACTGTAGATAAACAATCAGCCCCCACTTTCAAGGTTTCCCCACCTTTCGGCCCGCCCCAGAAGGATCCAGCGGGGCCGTTATGCGGCCCACCTGCCACGTCAGCAGAACGCCCTCTGTGGTGTCTACTCCCGATGTACCAAGACGTCCATTGGGCAACTCGACTTTGTATCTTACATCCGAGGGTGCTTGTCTTACCCAAATGGAAGGTCAAGGATCATCCGGAGTCCGATCTTAATAGTAGTAACAATGCTGCCGACGAGGCAACCACATACATATGTACAGACTAGAGCGGGGCTCAAGAGATACCTGAAAAGTTTACATTACGGGTTTTTTTTTCAGTATTGCCCAGTTCTGCAAATTTCGAACTCAGTACGTAAATACGACTTTACGGTATTTATGATCTTCTCGGTTTTTGGTGGTAGTCCGACTATACACATTTCATTTGGGAGTCTACATCTATTCTTACATACAACTTGCGAGCACCAAGCATCCAGCCCGTCTGGCATCATGTCTTTGAAGATTTCAACCTTTCTTCATTCAATATTAAGCACCGTCGCAGTGCTAACTCTAGCCTGCCTTGGCTTACTGTTTACCTGGCCGTACCTTCCTCTTACTTCTGTCACACCCTCTTTCCAATCAGACACTGTGTCAACTACACCAAGGCTCAACTTATATCAATTCCACACATCCAAAGAGTTGGAAGATCTGTCCACTGCCGGAGACGCTTCCTGGCAACAACTGACAACGACCAACGATGGTGGGTTCCTCTGGGTTCGTCATAACGAGACATACCGAACAGGATGGGGGATTAGCATGTTCCACTCGTTACATTGCCTCGGTCTGCTACGAGAGATTGTGAAGACAAAATCCGATCACAGCAATAGCGACAGTCACCACGCTTCGCATGCAGATGCGGCACACGCAGGCCATTGCCTATCATATATTGCCCAATCACTCCTTTGCTCAGCAGACGGAACTCTCGAGAGACCAAAGAGCATTCTGGACGAAAATGGCGATATTCTTCGGGATGATATCAATGGGGAAGGTGTTGAGCACCGTTGCAGAGATCACAGCTTGTTGTGGAAATTAGCGCGACGGACTGAGCAACAACCTATCGGCGTGATGCCTCCTGCAAAATCTGGAGATACCGTGTGGGATTGGTTTAGTTAGAACCGAAAATAAAAAATACAGCTCGTTCATCATGTATATAAGACAATGTCATTTTTGTCGAACCCGCTCTTCAGGTATAGCTCTCTCATAAATTGCCCCCTGAAGTGCCCAGCCCCAATTGACTTCGATCTCGCACTTAGTAATATCCCCTCGGCTAACTATTTATAAAGCGCACGATTTCATCTTTCCTCCAGTGCGTGACCTTACCTGTCAGTGTACATGTCAGTATCTATTGCATTCAGTATTCCTTTTATATTACGAAGGGACGACTCCATAAGTGTCTAACATGAGTCCCACGATCCCTGATTTCAGCATCCCAACTGAGCGGCTACACATATCCTACCTTGAACCCGGAAATCCCTCACACACCACTTTTCTTCACCACCTCTGGAATACCGATGAATTCATCGAAGCAGAAGGCAACATAGGCCTTGATACACAAGAGAAAATCGACGAGTTCATCACTAACAAAGTCCAAACCCACTACAAGAAAAATGGATACGGACAAATGCTTGTCTCTTTGAAACCGTATCCTGGGGCTTCATTAGCCGAAAGCAGTCCGATTGGAATTGTCTCCTTGATGAAGGGTGAAGGAGAGAACGCATACACAGCACCTGATGTAGGGTACACCATTCTACCGCAAGAGAATAGGAAGGGATATGCCACTGAAGCGGCGATGGGGCTGATTGCCTATGCAAAGAGAGAATTTGGTGTGGATGGGGTGTTTGGGTTCTGTGCTCAAAAGGATCAACGCAGTCGAAGGGTTTTGGAGAAGATTGGTATGGAGTTCCGGGGGAAAGACATTTGAAGTTCTTTGGAGGAGCGCATAGTGCTGTCTATGCATTGCCCGGAATGGAGGGTTTGAAGGATTATGGAATTGAGGATGAATGAGGTGTTAGATATAGGCCACAAGTGCTGCCAGGGTCTTTCGTGTGCGCTGCTACACTAGAGGAAATCCGGTATATCCTAAGAGAGCGCTTATTGATATGAAAGAAAACTTTTGACTCTAACAACCATCATGATACATATCTATCGTAAAATCATTAGTCGTACAATATACACCATGCTTCCACCCAAATGCATATTAAAAAGAAGTACGCTTCACTTCTAAAAGAGAAAAATATCAAGCTATTTCTTTCCCAAGATCAAGGTACGGGCCTGGCGGGGATCTGTGCCGAGGACAGTAATGAGATACTCGATGCTAGTCTCAGACGCCAAGCGGCGCTTCTCATCCTGGAACTCCTTATGACACGACTCCCGCGTCGCATTCCGTTCTTGGCTTAGGACTGTCTTGACGCGAATTTTAAACGCCGCACTGACCGGCCGGTGGTCGGAGGCGCGGACCTCGTGTCGTCGATAATCCAGCTGCTTGACGCGGCCTAGGCCACGGTAAAGGATGCGGTCACACCAGGCGGGAGATCGTTTCTTGTCACTGGAGTCGTACTCGTCCGTGCCAACGTCGTATTTGTAGGTCGGGGCGAAGGTGATGGGTGACTCAATGAATGAGCGCAGGCGAAAACCGGGGTTCTTTCGCCGGGAAGCAAGTAGCTGGTCCCGATCCAGGAGTTTTGGTAGATTGTTTTGACGAACTGCGTCAATGATCACATTTCGAGGAATTGCGTCGATTCGATAGTTCAGATCTCCGTTCAAAATGCATACTTCGTGGTCCATGATCATTGAGCCATCACCACCACTGGCAAACTGATCTGACCGCAAGGTCATGCTACTTTCCACCGGCAGGGACTCGGCTTCTAAGATCGCAGCAATATCGTTGTTTCGGTGTGCGGTCTGAGTTTGACCGGCCGCCAAATGGCAGTTCACAAAACACATCGAGCTGTCGTCCAAGACGAAGCGGAGTACGAGGGCACCCTGTGGTATAATGAGATAAGAGCCATCGTAAAGACCGGGGACATGACAAACCTTGTTTCCGTGTAAACCGCCCATTCCGCGCTTAATCTCCGAAGCACTGATGTTTTTGATATTATGGCGTTCCTTGTGTCTGACGAAAACGCAAGTAAAGAGTCCCACCATATTCGCAGTATGCAAAAGAACGTAGGATTCCTCGAGAGGCATGCATTCGTGAAGAGTACGAGTAAGATGATCGATCCATACTCGATATTGACGACTCATATGTTCCTTCTCACCGTTTTCTTTCTTTTTACTACCAAGCAGCAAGCTCTCTGTGGCACTGTCAGTCAACATTCACAAAGGGGAGAGGGGGAGGAGAGGGAAGGAGGGGGGAGGATGACTTACTAGCTGTGATCTTCTTGTTCTCGAGATCAACCAGCTCCTGGAACCCAAATACCACGATCTCGGGCGGGTCTTCAGGGGTGACTGCATTTCGGATGAAATCCGACGTTCGCACACTGCCAGGTGTAGAGGCTCCCGCATTCCATGTCACAACGATAGCCTTGAGTTCTCGGAATGTGCAGAACTCCACGTCTCTGGTCTGCATCCGCGCATCTATTTTATATTAGTGCAAGCCCTTAACAGATGAAAACAGGTTGTTCCTTACCCAACCAATCGTCCTCAAGCATTCCGTCCCAGAGGCGAATGCAATTATCAGTGCCGAGAGAGGTCACCTGCAGGCGATTCATTGTCCATACGCTGCTCATGTCTAACACGAAGCTGGATACGGGACTGTCGTGGGCACGCCAGTCTTTCTTCACGGTCCAAGGGTTTGTGGACACGTCGTAGACGTAGATCATGCCGGTTTTATACGCAGCCCAAAGATAATCTCCCACAAATGCAAGGCAATTGATTTTATACACGCTGACATTGACCACCGCCAAGCAAGAAAAATCGGTCGAAGAGTACACAGTAACCTTGCCGTCTGCGTGTCCCAAATAAACCCGACCTCCCTCTCGCGTGGTAAAGGTCCCGGAAGTCACATCGCCTGAGTGCTGAAGACCGAGGGGTCGTTTGAAGACCTTGAATGGGACATCATCTTTTGCATTGGGGCGATATATATGGACGTCCTTTCCTGCCGCCAGCCAAAGCTTGTCATCAACTACCATGGAGAATGTGTGGCCTCTAGCTACACGCTCAGAAGGGCTGTGGTAGCTGTATTGCAAGTTAGGTGTGCCGGTCTCATCTGGCAGCCAAACAAGCAGTCGGCCTTCGTCATCTAGCGTCCACATTTCTTTCTTGTGCCGCAAAATTTGGATGACTTCTCGACGGGAGGGGTATGCACGGGTGGCCACGATGGATTGGCTTGGTATATCAACTTCGTGAATATCTCCAGCACTGGTACCGAGCCATATACGCTGGCCCTCATCTTCAAGGCCTTTCCCTGGCTTGAAAGCAATAGATAGGCTTTTTACGGTCTCGCCATGGCTGAGACTCATCACTTGGTCACCAGTTGTAAGATCCCATACCCGAGTCAGATATCCAGTCGTACACACATACTTCCCGCATACAGCCAGTAAGCGGGTATCATACTTTGTCAGGATATCTTGCGGTCCAGACTTGAAGCGTGGGGGTCGACGGTTAGTTTTTGAGGCATCAGGATAGTCTGTCCGTGATATAGCTGGCTCTTCAACTTGTTCATCTTCCTCCGTGTCTGTACGCACCACACGACGCTCTGGAAGGGAAGAAGAGAGGTGAGTTTCTTGGGGTAAGGAGGGTTGACGCTGGATTGGTCTCGGGCCTGAGGATTCGCCGGCACGCGAGAGAGTGGGTGCATGTCTGGCGATCGGTGTCAGCTGCCCAGAGCTGTCTACACGTCTGGGAGGTTCTCGTGAAGGGGAAACTCCGGTTCGACGAGGAGCCCCGGAAGGTCGAGGAGGAAGCCCAGGGCGGTCGTAAGAAACATCACTGGCTCGATATCTCTGTGCCGAAAGAGGGGGGCAGTGGCAGCAGACATCGGACCGTCTACGGGAGCAGATGGAATCTGCACCATCAAGGGCTTGGTGGACCGTGAGGGTTCTGGACCGGGACGGGTCCTTGAAAATCCCATTTCTCTAGCGTCATGTCGGGCGAACGCAGACGGAGTAGGTGATCGCTCGTCAAACGAGCGACGAGCTGGGGGTTCCGTCGTTGGCCGAGCCGGTGCTGGCCTAGCACTGCTCTTTCCAGTGGATTGAGGCTTAGACTTGGATTTTTCCGGGCTACCAGGAGGGGTGCTAAAAGGCGACATACTTCGATCGGGTGATGTCCGTCCCGGTCGAGGAGCCAACGAACTAGTGTCCGGGTGAGAAAACATAGCCGGTTTTGCCGGGATTTTGGGCTTTGATGCGCGGTTAGCTGGGGGTGGCAACGAGGCGCTTTTTAATTTTCGGTCTGTCGGGCTCCCAGTGAGGTTGACGCGGAGAGATCCAGGCGCCAGTCGAGGGATTGTATCCCCTGCATTAATGGAAGGTCCGAACTTCGGTATTGGGGAGAGCGGGCGAGGTGGTGCCGGCGAGACGGACATTGATTCTCTTGGGCGATGGCCGGGACTCCGGGTCTTGCGGCTATCACCTTGCGGAGTCCAAACTTCATCCCGATCTTGTCCACGTGGTGGAGATTGGGGCGACTGCACTGTTAAGGTTGGCGGTAGTTGTGGCGATGAACGGTGGAAGTTCATAGAGATGGGCCGGCCATATCGTCTGCCGGAGAACCCCCGATCCCGGGAGTTCTCCCCATTCAACTGAAGCGGATTTGGTCTCTCCTCGGCCGGGGTCCATGGGGAATGCGGCCGGGGTAAATCGAGTGAAGCACGAGTGGAGGATCGGGGGTCATCGCTAGGCCCCGGAGTTACTAGTAAATTGTTTGTGGAAGTGCGCGGGCTGGTAGCTACAGCAGAGGGAGATCTGCGGTGAGATAGATTCTCAAAATGAGATAGCAAAGAGGACACCGGTCTCTGTGGCTGCGTTCGTGTTAGTTCATTGTGTGTCACAGAACAGTTATGTATGCATACAGTGGGAGGAGCGTCGTCATTGTTATCTGGCTGTTTCCCTGTACCTGCCATAGCCATTATCACAGATCCGTCGCCGATACCAGCCGAGTAAATGTATCATAGACTTGGAGATATCTCCCGGGGATTGAGTAGTGGCGCGGTGGCAGTAGAGTAGGTGTTCGTAGGTACGGGAGTGGATGTTCGTAGGTACGGAAAAGGTACAGGGATATCGTGGGGCTCGGACTTGGAGGTAGGAGACGACGTAGGCGGCGCAAAGGCCCGGTAACAAAGAGCGAAGCTTGACCGTCAAGAGTTCGAGGAATTCCGAAGTAGATCCAGGGGTTAAAAGGGGGTTGAAAGGCGAAAGTCGATGAAATGGAGTGGCGGGGAGGAAAGTGGAGGGAATCACGGGAGAGTTGACGATCACTTTTGTGTCTTTCTTCGGACTTGAGCATCGACATCTCGCGCTTGTCCGTCACGTTTCTTTCGCATTTTATAGCCATGTGGTAAGTCTGCTTCTTGCGTTATGCTCGAGATTCATACTCGAGATTCCCTCAATCGCCTTGGTCCAAAATTCTGATAGCTAACACGATCTCCCCGCTTTGCAGTAAACACATTCTGAACGCCCAAGTGGCCATCCGTTCACACTGCTGTACGCTGAAATCGACCTCAGATTTGATCACAGGGGATTGACCGAAGAGATATAGGCCGAAAATGGTTTGACTGCGCCGAATGCCACCAAGAGAGCGAGTCGCATAATCTCCAGAAGAGCGCCGAGATGGTACGCCCCCTATTCGCTGGTTAGCGCAGGTCTAGCAGTCTGACATTCCATGGGATAGATCTTTGCCTGCAAGAAGTGCAAGAAGTGTTTCCGCAAAGACGCGGCTGAGTTCGATGAGACGTACGCAAGAATCTGTTCAAAAGCCAAATGGCAGCGGGCTAATTCTATTTTCAGTGACGAGTACTGCCCTCACTGTGACAATCACTTTGTCATTGAGGCGGTCGAGCCCGAGGCGCGACTACACGTGGAGGGCGAGGATGCTCGTATGGACAACCGGTATGTCGAGCACACAAAATCTCCTAATTGGCAGGATGCTGACCATATCAAGAATGCTCAAGGACGAACGTGTTGCGCGCGACAAGGAGCGCTCCCTCTTCAATATTAAAGATGTGTCGGATCGCATGGGCTAAGCTCTGTTTGCGAAGAAAGAAAGACAATTAGCGGGGGACGGCGCAATTTCATGATGTTGACGATTTGACGGTTACTGTTTCTTGCAATAGTTCAAGGCAGATGGAACTTCTTTTAGCATCAATACCCTTTTCTGCATTGGTGTACAATATACAATATGAAAGAAACCGGGAGATGTTTTTTAAACTTCATGATTTTGGATTCTCGTCAAGGAAGAGACCCAACGCTACTGTAAATTGAAACAAATCATCCAATTCCCTCTCAGGCTCTGAGTCCTTCCAGGTCTAGCACTTAATCAGTCGACTCGCTGCCACCCGGCCGGGTGAGGATAGCCGCCGTGGTGGTCCCTGCCCGGGTCTTTTTCTTGGCTGCTTCCTCCTGCTTCTCGGTCTCGATGTTCTTCACGTACGCCTCAATCTGGTCATCTGGCAGCATCTCAAGAGTCTTACCGGGTGCCATGATGGCGACCTCGATGTTCTTGGCACCCGTCTGGACAACCTCAAGCAGAGACTTGATGGTCAGCTGAATTGACTGCTCACGGTCCATGTCGTCCTGGTGGTTGCGCTCAAGGAATTCGCGGACAGTCTTGCTGGAACGGCCGATGGCGTTGGCTTTCCTACAGTGAGATAAGATGGATTAGTGTTCATCCAATATGAAAACGTTAGGTCAGAAAACACCTACCAAGCCGAGTAGATTCCAGATGGCTCAGTCTGGTACAGTCGCGGGGTGGAGTCGTTCTTGTCAAATCCAACCACCAGTGTGCTGATACCAAATGGACGCACACCACCACTCTGTGTGTATCTCTGCTGAACACCAGCAATATATTTCGTGATATACTCGATGCTAGAGGGGTCCTCGACCGTCAGGCGGTGGGACTGAGCCTCTAAGCGGGCCTTGTCAATAAGGATGCGGGCATCGGCGTTCAGTCCAGCGAAGGCGAGACAGATGTGGTCATCGACCAGAGCAATCTTGGAGGGAGTAATGCGGGTATCTTGAAGCTTGAGGGCAGAACGCTTTTCGCAACCGAGGACGACGATGTCCTTGCCTTTAACACCAACAGCGCAAGTTCCTAGGATCACCTGTCATCAGCAAACTATGTCTCTTGATGAATTAAATGCCAGCGACGGTAGAAAATGGAGCGGAGAGAGCTGTTAGGAAAGCAAATAACGGTGATCTTACCTCGCTTCACGGCCTCCATGGCATATTCAACCTGGAAGACGTGTCCATCGGGACTTGGGGAAGGGTTAGAAAACAAACTCTGGAGCTGCAGTAAAGCTTGGAGACCTCGTACCTGAATACTGCGATAAGTTAGCACGATACAGCTTTCGTCCTGGTCAGGAGCAAAGGGAGCTGGGACGTGGGGAGCTAGCTTACCTGAAAGAGCTCGGTCGTATCCGGACATTGTGAATCAAGTGCAGCTGAATGAGTGGTGATTAGGGTTTCTGTAAATAGCAAGTTCAAGGGAAGCAATGAGGTAGAAGGATGCAGACAAATGTCAAGGTAGCTCAGGTCAATTGGATTGGAGCAATGACGGGTTCCGGGCGGTGGACGCGAAAGCCCACGGCTGCCTCCACAACCCTCACGGTACCTCTGTTTAGTATGGACGCACCATAGTAATTTCATGTACCTAGAGATTGACCAGCATTTTCACCAATCTTTTCATAAAAGCGATTTTTATACATACAACAGTGTTTCTCTGAAAGGCCTGGACTGGAATCATTCAGGGTAAGTCAAATAGTACGCACATTGAAACATTAACCCGGTAACTATATGTACATCCATGGGATATATATAAAAGCATCTGAACTAGAATTTTATATAGTCAAACCACCTAAATAACGAGAATACATGTGAAAACTATAGACACAATATCGTTTTTTGCATTCACAGTGCTTCGACCCCGAAGAGATCCTCGATTCGATGCCCAAGCTTCAAAGTAAATCCCCAACACCCCAAACGGAGTCCCAGTATATCCCCCAGATCAAGACCGTGAATTCTCCGACGCTTCCCATGACCAAAGAGTGCAGAAAGGGAGCACAAAATATCTAAAATGCAATGCCAAAGGGCAAACCCAACGTGTGCCTGCAGAGAAACCAGAAGAGGGCCGGAACATTCAAAAAAATACATGCACCACCCCTACAAGGGGCCTATTCCCTCAAATAAAAACAACCATATAGCGCAAGATGGAAATCACAAAGAGGGGGAAAACAGCTCCCACCAGAAAACAAAACCAAGACCAAGACAAAAAGCATCACAAAAAGCACAGGGCGGCGAAGGCGAGAAAAAGAAATCCGAAATCTTCGACAACGCTAACCCGCCTGCTCCTTCCAACCCGATGCACCAAAACCGCAGAATCCCTTATACAAATGCGTATCAACGAATATCAACCAGCGCGGAAACCCGCCACAATGCAGGGTTGCAATATGGACAACATAAGTGTGAGCGCCCAGTTCGTGAGTGGGGCGTGAAGTAGGTACAACTAGACCAATATTTAAGCGGGCGACTTGTTGGCACCGGAGCCATTGCGACGAGAGTGGGGGTCGTCAGACACAGTCAGACCACCAAGGCCACTCGACAAGAAGGCGAAGGGGTCACTTGCGCCATCGGAGCCATAGAAGGCACCGTTTGAGGCACTGGTGGAGGGTACACCGTGGTCGGCACCAGTGAAAGCGGCCTGAGTGGCCGGGTTAGCGAAGGAGGCGGCCGAGTGCGAGGTGCTGGAGGAGCCGTAGCCCGAGTTCATCTGGCCCATGGGAGGGTAGGCACCAGGGGTATTGTTACCCAGACCAGCGGAGGGCAGGGCGTAATTGTTGGGCGGGCCACCGAACTGCTGGCTGAATCCACCGAATCCACCGGCGGTGGAAGCGAACGGAGCCGGGGCAGGGGTGCTAGCCATCGAGTTGGGCCCCATATTGAATTGCGAGGGTGGATCCATCGGAGACGGGAAAGCCGAGTCTGCTACGACGGCAGCGCCCGAGCGAGGGGCACCGCAGCGTAGGCAATTGATGTTCTTTGCAAAGTTGTGGTAGCCACAACCCTCAGAACCACACTTCCAGTCGCCAGCGCGGAAGGGAACAACACCACCGTTACCACCCATACCACGCGAGTGACCACCACCCATACCGTGACCGCCGTGGCCCATGTGAGGAGGCATCATTGATGGGGGGCCGTAGCCGTAGTTTCCGTAGCTCATTGGGTCAGGGGCAGCCGCCATGGCAGGGAAGGAGCAGCGGAAGCAAGCTGTGCGGCGCTGGAAGTTAGAGAAGCCGCAAGACGGGCAGGTCCAGTCACCAGGACGGGGGCGGTTCTTGGAGGGCGGGAAAGGAGTGAGAATTTCGGCGGCCCGGTCCAGAACCCGGCTGGAAGAGGGAGAGACCTCAATCGCCTTCTCATTGAGCGCACGGCCGTTCATGCACAGGCTCTCAGCAGCCTGATTGACAGTTAGCAAGCACAACATGGAAGATAAAACATTGGAAGTTCTGTATCATAGAACAGCCAAAAGAATATTATAAGAACTCACCTCTTCGTGGGAAGAGAAGACGGCAAAGCCAGTGCCAGTGGGCTTGTGCTGGTCTGGCGTCCGCAGAGTCCAGAAGGCGATGGGACGACCACCGAACTGGGTGAACCAGCTCTCCAGCTCAGACTGAGTGGTATCGTGAGGCAGACCACTAAGGTGCAGAACCTTGCTACGTTCCGCCAAAAATGCCCGAACGTCGGCATGAGCATCCATAGGACGAGTGAGGATCTCAGGGTGTTCCTGGGGCGGCTGGGACTTTCGGATCAAACCACGGAGCACACGGGCGAGAGTGACAGATTCCTCCATGGCACGGCGAGGCGAGGCGGGGGCCAAAGCTTGCAAGTGGAAAGGAAGGTTGTGCTTGATCGGGGCGGATGACTGAACGGGCTCAACTTCAAGGGCAGCGCAAATGTTGGAGAGCGAGCTGGGACCGAAAGGCAGCGACTCTGGGTGATGGGTTTGCCAGCGTTGATATTCGGTTCGCAGGTCGAAAGTGCGGGAATGCTGCAGGTATGCAGGCAGCACGACGGCCTTGTCGCGGGCCTCGCGGGGCAGCTGCACCCGCAGATCCCACGAGTCCAACGTCACAAAAGCAAACTCGAGATGTTTGCTGATGAGATGTTCCTGAGCGAAGGCGTCGAATCGAGAGATGGCATCCCGGAAAGTACCTGCGGAGCGAACGTGTTCCCATGTCAAAGTGGTCAAGCTCGCTTTAGAGAATTGTCAGCCACAAATTTCCTCGTAAAACCCCCAATATAAGGCTGTTTTCAAGGCGATCTTACTGCAAAGCGGGGTGATTGGAGTATTGACGGGCTTGACTAGAACACTTTCACGGTGCAACTAAACAATTGGGGGAAAAAGATGTCAGCTTTTGGGTCGACCTCGGGAGTAAATTGAATGTTGGGTAGAGAAAGACGGGGGGGGAACGGACTTCCTCGCAGGTCTTGGTGTCCAACAGGATCCATCCTAACTCAATGACCTCAGCCGAGTCCTTAGTGACATATACGCCATGCTCGTCACAGGTGGTTGCAACGTGGATGACAATGTATCGATCCAGCTTGGGGGTTGGTGCTGAAACGGCCGCCATCGCTGACTTGTCCCCAACGGAGCGGCAAGGGAATCCCGGGAAGAAGGAGTAAATGTCTCTGCGGGAAAAGCAGACGACAAAGACAAGGCCGGAGGAGAGAGTGCTTAAGAATAGAAGAGAAAGCCCGGGGGAGGAGAGAAGGGAAAGGGGGGGGGAGAAGAAGAAAAGAGCCAACTCGGTGGAGTTTCGAGAGAAAATGAAAAGTTTCGGGGCTCGGGGACGGAGATTATAACAATACAAAATGATCTTGTATGGATGTTTAACTTATGAAAATTAAGAATTTAATCCTCTTGAATCTTGCTCTCTCTTTCGAATCTTCTTCAATTCCCCTGGAAATTATGTGTTCGGACTGGTCTTGACCGTGCAACCCCAACCGGGCCCAGATCCCTGTCTTATTA